ATTCTCCCTCCCCTCCCGGAGGACCTGAGCCCTAGGACCATGCCTCAGCACTACCTGGCCTGATGACTCCTTGCTGTCCCCAGTCCACCTGATCATGCTGCTGCTCCAGTTTCCAATCTTCTGCCTGCAGCTATGGAACCCTGACCTGTTCACCGGACGTTCTACCTTGTCCCAGACCTGCTGTTTTCAACTCTCACTCTCTACCGCACCTGCTATTTCAACCTCTAAATGCCCGGCTATGAAAAGTCAAGTGACATTTACTCCTGATGTATTGACCTGTTGCAACCACTGTGATTATCATTTGACCCTGCTGGTCATCTATGAACGTTTGAACATCTTGGAGAAAACTCTGGCCTTAATGGCCATGTACTGTTATAATCTCCACCCAGCACAGCCAGAAGGGGACTGGCCACCCCTCAGAGCCTGGTTCCTCTCTAGGTTTCTTCCTAGGTTCCTGCCTTTCTAGGGAGTTTTCCTAGCCACCGTGCTTCTTCATCTGCATTGCTTGCTGTTTGAGGTTTTAGGCTGTGTTTTCTGTATAGCACTTTGTGACATCTGCTGATGTAAAAATGGCTTCATATGGAATCATATAGTAACCCAAAAAGTGTTAAACAAATCAAAATATATTTTATATTCTTCAAATAGCCACCCTTTACCTTGTTGACAGCTTTCCACACCCCTTCTTTTTTGTTGTTGTCATTTAGCAGACGCTCTTATCCAGAGCGACTTACAGTTAGTGAGTGCATACATTTTCATACTGGCCCCCCGTGGGAAACGAACCCACAACCCTGGCGTTGCAAGCGCCATGCTCTACCAACTGAGCTACAGGGGACTCTTGGCATTCTCTCAACCAGCTTCATGAGGTAGTCACCTGTAATGCATTTCAATTAACAGGTGTTCCTTCTTAAAAGTTAATTTGTGGAATTTCTTTCCTTCTTAATGCGTTTGAGCCAATCAGTTGTGTTGTGACAAGGTAGGCGGGGTATACAGAAGATAGCCCTATTTGATAAAAGACCAAGTCCATATTATGGCAAGAACAGCTCAAATAAGCAAAGAGAAATGACAGTCCATCATTACTTTAAGACATGAAAGTCAGTCAATACGGAAAATGTCATGGTATGGGGGTATGGGGGTGCTTTGCTGGAAACACTGTCTGTGATTTATTTAGAATTCAAGGCACACTTAACCAGCATGGCTACCACAGCATTCTGCAGCGATCCCATCTGATTTGGGCTTAGTGGGGCTATAATTTGTTTTTCAACAGGACAATGACCCAACACACCTCCAGGTTGTGTAAGGGCTATTTTACCAAGAAGGAGAGTGATGGAGTGCTGCATCAGATAACCTGGCCTCCACAATCCCCTGACCTCAACCCAATTGAGATTGTTTGGGATGAGTCGGACCACAGAGTGAAGGAAAAGCAGCCAACAAGTGCTCAGCATATGTGGGAGCTCCTTCAAGACTGTTGGAAAAGCATTCCAGGTGAAGCTGGTTGAGAGAATGCCAAGAGTGTGCAAAGCTGTCATCAAGGCAAAGGGTGGCTATTTGAAGAATTTCATATATAAAATATATTTTGATTTGTTTAACACTTTTTTGGTTACTACATTATGTGTTATTTCATAGTTTTGATGTCTTCACTATTATTCTACAATGTAGAAAATAGTAAAAATAAAGAAAAACCCTTGAATGAGTAGGTGTTCTAAAACTTTTGACCGATCGTGTATATGACAGTGTTATAGATCCGTCTCCCCTTACAGCCCTTTTTGGAGTACTACCCATAGGCACCCCCCTGTCAAGAATTCAGTCGGACACTGTTCTTATACAGTGGGGGAAAAAAGTATTTAGTCAGCCACCAATTGTGCAAGTTCTCCCACTTAAAAAGATGAGAGAGGCCTGTAATTTTCATCATAGGTACACGTCAACTATGACAGACAAAATGAGAAAAATAATTCCAGAAAATCACATTGTAGGATTTTTAATGAATTTATTTGCAAATTATGGTGGAAAATAAGTATTTGGTCAATAACAAAAGTTTCTCAATACTTTGTTATATACCCTTTGTTGGCAATGACACCGGTCAAACGTTTTCTGTAAGTCTTCACAAGGTTTTCACACACTGTTGCTGGTATTTTGGCCCATTCCTCCATGCAGATCTCCTCCAAAGATTTTCTATGGGGTTGAGATCTGGAGACTGGCTAGGCCACTCCAGGACCTTGAAATGCTTCTTACGAAGCCACTCCTTCGTTGCCCGGGCGGTGTGTTTGGGATCATTGTCATGCTGAAAGACCCAGCCATGTTTCATCTTCAATGCCCTTGCTGATGGAAGGAGGTTTTCACTCAAAATCTCACGATACATGGCCCCATTCATTCTTTCCTTTACACGGATCAGTCGTCCTGGTCCCTTTGCAGAAAAACAGCCCCAAAGCATGATGTTTCCACCCCCATGCTTCACAGTAGGTATGGTGTTCTTTGGATGCAACTCAGCATTCTTTGTCCTCCAAACACGACGAGTTGAGTTTTTACCAAAAAGTTCTATTTTGGTTTCATCTGACCATATGACATTCTCCCAATCCTCTTCTGGATCATCCAAATGCACTCTAGCAAACTTCAGATGGGCCTGGACATGTACTGGCTTAAGCAGGGGGACACGTCTGGCACTGCAGGATTTGAGTCCCTGGCGGCGTAGTGTGTTACTGATGGTAGGCTTTGTTACTTTGGTCCCAGCTCTCTGCAGGTCATTCACTAGGTCCCCCTGTTTGGTTCTGGGATTTTTGCTCACCGTTCTTGTGATCATTTTGACCTCACGGGGTGAGATCTTGCGTGGAGCCCCAGATCGAGGGAGATTATCAGTGGTCTTGTATGTCTTCCATTTCCTAATAATTGCTCCCACAGTTGATTTCTTCAAACCAAGCTGCTTACCTATTGCAGATTCAGTCTTCCCAGCCTGGTGCAGGTCTACAATTTTGTTTCTGGTGTCCTTTGACAGCTCTTTGGTCTTGGCCATAATGGAGTTTGGAGTGTGACTGTTTGAGGTTGTGGACAGGTGTCTTTTATACTGATAACAAGTTCAAACAGGTGCCATTAATACAGGTAACTGTCACGCCCTGGCGCTGGGACTCTGTTAGGTTGAGCCAGGGTGTGTAGTTTCTATGTGTTTGGGTTATAGGTTCTTTATCTAGCTCATGTGTTTCTGTGTTGGCCGGGGTGGTTCTCAATCAGAGGCAATGAGTGTCAGCTGTTGCTTGTTGTCTCTGATTGGGAACCATACTTAGGCAGCCTGTTTTGCCACAGTGTTTGTGGGATCTTGTTCCGTGTATGGTTTGTGTCTGTTACCTAGGACTTCACGTATCGTTTTGTTGTTTTGTTTCGTGTGGTGAATCAAAATAAAGTATGTTCACTCATCACGCTGCGCATTGGTCCACTTCTATCGACGATCGTGACAGTAACGAGTGGAGGACAGAGGAGCCTCTTAAAGAAGAAGTTACAGGTCTGTGAGAGCCAGAAATCTTGCTTGTTTGTAGGTGACCAAATACTTATTTTCCAACATAATTGGCAAATAAATTCATTAAAAATCCTACAATGTGTTTTTCTGGATTTTCTTTCTCTCAATTTGTCTGTCATAGTTGACGTGTACCTATGATGTAATTTACAGGCCTCTCTCATCTTTTTAAGTGGGAGAACTTGCACAATTGGTGGCTGACTAAATACTTTTTTTCCCCACTGTATAGGCTACGTATTCTAAAAGTCAAATTCAATCAATCAAATTAATTTATAAAGCCCATCAGTAGATGTCACAAAATGCTTATACAGAAACCCAGCCTAAAACCCCAAAGGGCAAGCAATGCACAGTGGTGGAAAAAGTACCCAATTGTCATACTTGAGTAAAAGTAAAGATACCTTAATAGAAAATGACTAAAGTAAAAGTGAAAGTCACCCAGTAAATTCTACTTGAGTAAAAGTCCAAAAGTATTTGGTTTTAAATATACTTAAGTATCAAAAGTAAATGTAATTGCTAAAATATACTTAAGTATCAAAAGTAAAATTAAAAGTAAAAGTATAAATCATTTCAAATTCCTTACATTAAGCAAACCAGACGGCACGATTTTCTTGTATTTTAAATTTACGAATAGGCAGGGGCACACTCCAAAACTCAGACATAATTTACAAAAAAAGCATTTGTGTTTAGTGTGTCCGCCAGATCAGATGCAGTAGGGATGACCAGGGATTTTCTCTTTAAGTGCGTGAATTAGACCATTTTCCTGTCCTGCTAAGCATTCAAAATGCAATGAGTACTTTTTGGTGTCAGGGTAAATGCATGGAGTAAAAAGTATATAATTTTCTTTAGGAATGTAGTGAAGTAAAAGTAAAAGTTGTTAAAAAATATAAATAGTAAAGTAAAGTACAGATACCCCAAAAAACTACTTAAGTAGTACTTGAAAGTATTTTTGGCAATGCAGATGTGTTGGAAAAAATTGGTGACATAAAGGGTGGTTTCTGTGAGAATTACAGGCAAGGGGCGTTTTACCCTGGGGCCATTTTACCCCAAGACACCCTAAATCAAGTAATTACAGCATGTTTGAGAGGTAGACACTGTAGGACTAATGCATCACAAGAGAGCAAACCACAAAGGACCATGAAATCCCTTGCCACTGTGGCAATACCTTAGGATCATTATAAATTCTACTGACAGTTTGCAGAGAGATTAGGTGGTAGGCGGGACTGGAGAGCACCTGGTGTGCGCGCACCTGCAGCATGCGCTCGCTCAACTGTTTGGAATTAATCAAACAGGCTATCACATTGAAGGGTAGTGCAATGTCTGTTTTTTTCTCTATTCAAACTAGCGCTGCATCCATCCACCGAGTCTGTTCCAACACAAGGACGTAGATGGTGGTCATCATCCGTGCTGCTCCTGTGTAGTTCTTGGGATTCTCCGCAATCATTCCGAAGCAATTTATAGAGGAATAGTCTAGGTATAGTACAGTATAGGATAATTCAACGAGCCGTTCCTGTTCTTTCCTTCTGTTTTGCTCTTCTTTGGATTTGGCTGCTGGTGCGCTTCGAGCTTCGTGTGTCCGGCGATATGCTGGTGTTCTTCCAACACCATTAGATGTGACAACGTCACGGAAAAGTCTGTTCGGATGAGCGAAAGGGGTCCAAGACTGTAAGTGATGAATTTTACATCTGATCTGATTAGTATTTTGTCGATGGACATGGTAACTCGAATTGGTGTGCATTTACGCAGGGGTCAAATAAATTGCAACCACAGACCATGCAAATAAAATGTTCAATAAGAATAAATCAAAGCTTAAAGATAAGGCATGTATGGTGTTTTAAAAAGCACAAGTGTTAACTTCTAGCATTACTTGCCTTGATGGCCTACTTTCAGATGACGTAGCCTATAATTGATCCATTACAGGTAACATAATAACATTTGCCACTGCCTCTCTTTCCATTGTACGGTCCACATTATATTCCAAAGCCTTGAAAGTCTACGAAAACTTAAGCTAATTTTGCGTTGATTTAAATCCAACATAGAACGACGCACAAGCTCATTTACCAAGAAACTCAAGCTATTGCTCCGGATGCCTTTCTCCAGTCCTTGGTGGCTGACTAAGATAAATTATGTTCTGCTGTTTCATCCTCAAATCCCTAAGCTATAAAACTCTATATGGCCAATGACTGTGTCTGCTGTCGTTGTGAATTTAGAATGACTTGATTTGGATATGGCTAAATGCTGGATCAGTAGTAATTCTCACAAAACCTGAACAAGCACTGCACAGGGTTTTTCAATTATAATATTTCACACCCAAGCAGAAGACAGAATAGACAAACAGCTAACACATAAAGATATATTGGATCCAGGGATATAGAGGTTACAGTCACCAGTGCAGCTAACACAGAAAGATATTGGATCCATGGATAGAGGTTACAGTCACCAGTGCAGCTAACACAGAAATATATATTGGATCCAGGGATAGAGGTTACAGTCACCAGTGCAGCTAACACAGAAATATATATATTGGATCCAGGGATAGAGAGGTTACAGTCACCAGTGCAGCTACCACAGAAATATATATTGGATCCAGGGATAGAGGTTACAGTCACCAGTGCAGCTAACACAGAAATATATATATTGGATCCAGGGATAGAGAGGTTACAGTCACCAGTGCAGCTACCACAGAAATATATATTGGATCCAGGGATAGAGGTTACAGTCACCAGTGCAGCTACCACAGAAATATATATTGGATCCAGGGATAGAGGTTACAGTCACCAGTGCAGCTACCACAGAAATATATATTGGATCCAGGGATAGAGGTTACAGTCACCAGTGCAGCTACCACAGAAATATATATTGGATCCAGGGATAGAGGTTACAGTCACCAGTGCAGCTACCACAGAAATATATATTGGATCCAGGGATAGAGGTTACAGTCACCAGTGCAGCTACCACAGAAATATATATTGGATCCAGGGTTATATCTGTTATAGTTAAGAGTTTGTTCCATATAACATTCCACCACATTACAATTTCCAATATAATTTTTTAAATCATGAAGTCCTCCTTTTTTTGATCTGTCAAATAGTTTCAAAGTACAATAATAAAAGACATTGACTGTTCCATACTCCCCAGGGTCCAGAACCATCTGTCTATGAGCACTATAGCACTCATTTGAATGTCTGAGAAGAGTCCATCACACCCCTTTTGATTACAATTGTTACAAATAACCTGTTTTTGCTTCAAATCAAATTTTATTTGCCACATGTGCCAAATACAAGAGGTGTAGACCTTACAGTGACATGCTTACTTACAAGCCCTTAACCAACAATGCAGTTTTAAGAAAAAAAGTGTTAAGTAAAAAATAGATAAGTAAAAAATAACAAATAATTAAAGAGCAGCAGTAAAATAAAATAATAGCAGGGAGGCTATATACAGGGGGTACCGGTACAGAGTCAATGTGCGGGGGCACCGGTTAGTCGAGGTAATTGAGGTAATATGTACATGTGAGTAGAGTTCAAGTGACTATGCATAGATAATAAACAGAGTAGCAGCAGCGTAAAAGAGGGGGTGGGGGTGGGGGGACAATGTAAATAGTCCGGGTAGCCATGATTAGCTGTTCAGGAGTCTTATGGCTTGGGGATAGAAGCTGTTAAGAAGCATTTTGGACTTAGACTTGGCGCTCCGGTACCGCTTGCCGTGCGGTAGCTGAGAGAACAGTCTATGACTAGGGTGGCTGGAGTCTTTGATCATTTTTAGGGCCTTCCTCTGACACCGCCTGGTATAGAGGTCCTGGATGGCCCTGGATGGCAGGAAGCTTGGTGTGTTTTTGTAGAGAAATCGCTCAAAGTGTCGCCTTGGAAACCATAGAGACTCTTGCATTCAACAACCTTCTGGACCTCCATGAAATGTGAGTGTGTTTCCCCCCGGACTAGAACATGGAGCTCATAGAAAGAGTTTCATCTGCTTTCTTGTATCGGCTGACCTTTTTTTCAAGATAGTGTTCTAGATTCTCCGTGGCCAACGTGATTAAGACATTTAAGCATGTTAACCCCCGCAAGGCTGCCGGCCCAGACGGCATCCCTAGCCGCGTCCTCAGAGCATGCGCATACCAGCTGGCTGGTGTGTTTATGGACATATTCAATCTCTGCCTTTCCTAGTCGGCTGTTCCCACATGCTTCAAGATGGCCACCATTGTTCCTGTACCCAAGAAAGCAAAGGTAACTGAACTAAATGACTATCACCCTGTAGCACTCACCTCTGTCATCATGAAGTGCTTTGAGAGACTAGTCAAGGATCATATCACCTCTACCTTACCTGTCACCCTAGACCCACTTCAATTTGCTTACCGCCCTAATAGATCCACAGACGATGCAATCGCCATCACACTGCACACTGCCCTATCCCATCTGGACAAGAGCAACACCATAGTACCCTCCAAGCTCATCATCAAGCTCGACGCCCTGGGTCTGAACCCCGCCCTGTGCAACTGGGTCCTGGACTTCCTGACGGGCCGCCCCCAGGTGGTGAAGGTAGGAAACAACATCTCCACTTCGCTGATCCTCAACACTGGGGCCCCACAAGGGTGCGTGCTCAGCCCCCTCCTGTACTCCCTGTTCACCCATGAATGCGTGGCCAAGCACACCTCCAACTCAATCATCAAGTTTGCAGATGACACAACAGTAGTAGGCTTGATTACCAACAATGACGAGACCGCCTACATGGAGGAGGTGAGGGCTCTGGGAGTGTGGTGCCAGGAAAATAACCTCTCACTCAACATCAACAAAACAAAGGAGATGATCGTGGACTTCAGGAAACAGCAGAGGGTGCACCCCCCTATCCACATCGACGGGACCGCAGTGGAGAAGGTGGAAAGCTTCAAGTTCCTTGGCGTACACATCACAGACAAACTGAAATGGTCCACCCACGCAGACAGTGTGGTGAAGAAGGCGCAACAGAGCCTCTTCAACCTCAGGAGGCTGAAGAAATGTGGCTTGGCACCTAAAACCCTCACAAACTTTTACAGATGCGCAATTGAGAGCATCCTGTCGGGCTGTATCACCACCTGGTACGGCAACTGCACCGCCCGCAACCGCAGGGCTCTCCAGAGGGTGGTGCGGTCTGCCAAATGCATTATCGGGGGCAAACTACCCGGCCTCCAAGACACATACAGCACCCGATGTCACAGGAAGGCCAAAAAGATCATCAAGGACATCAACCACCCGAGCCACTGCCTGTTCACCCAGCTATCATCCAGAAGGCGAGGTCAGTACAGGTGCATCAAAGCTGGGACCGAGAGAATGAAAAACTGCTTCTATCTCAAGGCCATCAGACTGTTAAATAGCCATCACTAGCACATTAGAGGCTGCTGCTGCCTATTGAAATCACTGGCCACTTTAAGAAATGGAACACTAGTCACTTTAATAATGTTTACATATCTTGCACTACTCATCTCATATGTATATACTGTATTCTATTCTATAATATTCTACTGTATCTTAGTCCATGCCGCTCTGTCATTGCTTGTCCATATACATGTATATTTTCATAAATTCCATTCCTTACTAGTTTTGTGTGTATTAGGTGTCTGTTGTGAAATTGTTAGATATTACGGCACTGTCGGAGCTAGAAGCACAAGCATTTCGCTACACCCGCAATAACATCTGCTAAACACGTGTATGTGACAAATAACATTTGATTTGATTTACAGGTGATGTTTGTGACGTTTAATAATATGTCATTGCAAGTGACTTATAACTAATATTTCAGCTTGGGTGACATGCTGTATAACTACAATGGTGAAACGTCAACATCTTGACTTATTCTACTGAGAACATGTTGCCAGGTAAAGTAATGAGGCTATGTTGTGAATATATGAAGGGGACTGGCTGAAATCAGGAGGGTGCTGTATGTCAGATGTGTGCTGTTTCTGGTGTCATATTAACTTTTGTTTTGCAGCTTCATTAAGAACACACGGAGCCTGGTGCACATCGCTTGAAGGACGTTCAACAACCTTCCTAAGCTGCGTTATCTCTGAACATTAAGAGATACCAGATACCATACTACACAGATGTGGCTATATGTACAGTATGTATGTCACACTATGGCCGTGCCCCCTATTCCCATTATAGTCCACTACTTTGTGTTCCCTCTATAGTCCACTACTTTGTGTTCCCTCTATAGTCCACTACTTTGTATTCCCTCTATAGTCCACTACTTTGTATTCCCTCTATAGTGCACTACTTTTGACCAGGGCCCAGGGCAGGATTACCAAACAGGCCCCCAGATAGCATATGATAGCAAAATGTGTAGAATTGCAGGAAAATAACTTTAAAACTTTAAAACTGTCTCTCAGCCTCATGGCAAAATGTGTGCCCCGGTGCCCCAAATGTGGTAGTCCGGCCCTGCAGGGCTCTGATCAAAAGTAGTGAACTATCGAGGGAATAGGGTGCCATTTGGGACGCAGGCTATCTCTGTCTGCATAGTGAGGGCTCCTTCCTCCCCTGATAATGCTACTAGTCTGGTTTATTCATTCACATACTTTATCATACTGCGCTACCACGTACATGTTGACACTTTGACCTCACACTAGTTTATTTCAATTCAGTTCAGTAAATATTTATTGTTCCCAGAGGGTACAAAACATAGAAACCATATGATACAGCATACATAAGGGATGGGAAGACCTTGGTAAGGTAGTGCAAATACGTTATTATTAAATTATGAAGTAATATAAAGATATTCTTGATATGCATTAACAGGAGTATATCAAACACTGGGATAATGGTGTTTCCTGACAGGACATCTATCCATTCTCTGGAACCTTGGAACCAACATTTTGTCTTGTACGAATGTGAAGGAAAAATGGGTGCATCAACAACAGGAAAAGAGATGCAGCCTTGTCCAGAAGAGGTAGCGGCGCGACACTCTCATTACATTTTAATTTTATTAGAAATGAATTAAAAACACTGATGTTATGGTCATGGTGGACCTTCATCAGGCAGGCTTGTAAGTATGGGTCAGTGATTTTGAAGGGCTTGTCTGTTGAAAAGTAAATAGAGGCCTAAACAGTATCATATCAACTTAATCCAAAACTTGTCTTACAGGGATATCTGTAACAACCTGTCAATATCAGAAAATGCTTTTGTTGGCATGACAACTGAATACACTGCAATGTAAGTACTGTGTTATTATAATGAGTATTTTTCCAATCCAATGGACCGTATAGTCATAAGAACCTGACGTGTGGAAATGACATTGGCTATACTGAATGACATTTAAAGTCACTAACTCTCATTATTGCTTACTCAGGATCTGGGATCTAGGCCTAAAAGCCAATGGTGTTAACATTGTTTTCTCTCTATTCCAGGAACCTGTTCAACAGCGGCATTAGAGAAATATAAGACTACGCCTTTAATGGGACTAAGCTAAATAAATTGTACTATTCATTTTTTAAATTATTCAGATTTTTTTCAGGGGGTGCTGCAGCACCCTCAGCACCCCTAATTCCCACAACTATGCTGGTGGGAGGAGCTATAGGTGGACTGGCTCATTGTAATGGCTGGAATGGAAGACATGGAATGGGAAACTCATCAAACATATGTTAGACTCCATTCCATTTATTCCATTCCGACCATTACATTGAGCCCGTCCTCCTATAGTTCCTCCCACCAGCCTCTTCTAATTTACACCTGGGGCGAGTGTCACAGGAGGGATCTGAACCTGGGTCTCCCATGGGAGAAACCAGCATCTTAAAAGGAAACTGTATTTTGGGCCGAGGGACACAGATTCCCGCTATGCGAGGGATATAACTAGTAATGAAGTGGGCTATACCTGGTAGAAGTTTGGAATGAATGAGACTAATCCCATGCATTGTTCACAGAGAGTATTAATTACCATTACAGGATGTAGCTTGAATAATACATGTACGCAGTAATACGGGAAATTAGAAACAGAAAAAGTGAAATTGATTCCAACATTCTATTATCAACATACCTAGATAAGGGCGCATGAGGTTCTCATGTAGGGGGAAAGCTGCATCTCCCAGGAAAACATGAGATAATAAAAAATAAATCAAAACAACCGTCCCACTCCTTCAGTCACATTCAAATCACATCAGGTGCCTGTGAGGGTGGAGCATTCATCAACATGATTCCTTGTAATGCCTCTGCAAAAAAGTTCCTGAGTCCCAAAAAACGCTCAGCCGCATTCACAATGATGCCTATTTTCTCCTATTTCCTCTCCGTTTGTGCTGTGCAGTTGATAACCAAAGTAATAAACGCTAGGAGTCCATGTTCTTAACATGCAACATGTCAGAATCCCCCTGTTGACAAGGAATATTATCTGGTGTCTCTACTCCTACTACCATTACTTCTTCAACTTCACTCTTTTCTTCCAGTCTTCTCAACGCCTCCAGATAGGAGACATTCTGGACAGCCCTTATTCACCACCTCTGTCTCCTTCACCCTAACAGGACACTTCAGGAATTCGGGTGCATGTTCACCACCACAGTTTCAGCATTTAGTCTCAGCTGGCATATAATACTCCTCATGTCTACATACACTTGACACATTACCAAATCATTTACATTTATCACACTGCATGGGTTTGGGCACGAAGGCTCTCACAGGGTATCTCATATAACCCAAATACACGTGAGAAGGGAGAGACTCTTCACCAAGCAGGTCAGTCATTGTGCACCAATCACTTGATCCAATCTTCACGTATATCCTTTGCATTTACTTCTAGCACCACCCCAGAGATAACACCCTTAATAGACGCCCTGCTATGAAGATCCACACACCACCTATTCTAATCACCACTCCAGAGATAACACCCTTGATAGATCCACACACCACATATTCTAATCACCACTCCAGAGATAACACCCTTGATAGAGCCACACACGACATATTCCAATCCGATATCTTCTTGAGGTGCAAAGCTCCTTCTGTTCCATAGAAACACTAAAAAACTAAATAAGCCTACTTGTCCTTATTCTCATCCAACACATCCACCAGAGACTTCAAACGGATCTCCCAGGTAACATCGATCCAAAACCCTTATTCCAACCAAAAAAGACTCAGAACAAGGTTTGGATTTACTAGCTTCCACTTCACTTCTCTTATTTCCTTCTGCGTTCTCCACTGGAATCCAATTCCTCTCACGCTCATCTCCACTCAACACATCATCCGATTCAAACGGAACATCCGCTTCCGCCATTTTCCTACTGCCTACAGCTTTCAAAGAAGGTCGAGTAAACTCTGAAGAAACAAAGCACTCAATGTGTGGTGATCCAGTCAAATGTCTCTCTGTGTACACTTTTATTCTCCCACAAGTATCTTCCTTGTTTGGCCGTATATGGTTATTACCAGCTAATCACCCTCTACTGTCCCTGGGTAATATTGCAGCTTTACCCATTTTATTTCTGTTTTTCAAGCGAACGTCTTTTTAGGAAGCATGCGAGCACACTGTTCGGTTCGAACAGAAGAATACTGACGCCTTTAGTCTCTAGGGCATGGGTTAAAGACAGTGTAATCTGGGAGTCTAGGGCATGGGTTAAAGACAGTGTAATCTGGGAGTCTCTAGGGCATGGGTTAAAGATAATGTAATCTGGGAGTCTAGGGTATGGGTTAAAGATAATATCATCTGGGAGTCTAGGGCATGGGTTAAAGATAATGTAATCTGGGAGTCTCTAGGGCATGGGTTAAAGATAATATCATCTGGGAGTCTAGGGCATGGGTTAAAGATAATGTAATCTGGGAGTCTAGGGCATGGGTTAAAGATAATATAATCTGGGAGTCTCTAGGGCATAGGTTAAAGATCATTTAATCTTGGAACCCAAAACCAAATTGTGTGTGCTGTCCAGCTAGCAGTTTAACGCGAGAGACTAAATATATTGTATCTCATTTGAGGAGGATACAAGATACATGCTGTATGTTTGGTGTATGTCTACGGCTATTATGTTGCGGTGAGTTGGGCCTCTTGCTGCCTGTCTCCAGGGGAACTGCAACGTGATCATGCTTTGATCTTGTGCTGTTGTGCTTTGGGAAAACAGTCCGAGATTCTTAAGACATTATCACAAAACAGTTGGCTTAGAGCAGGGGTGGGCAAACCTTTTGGCTCAAGGGCCACATTGTTTTTGAAACCAAGTGAAGGGCCACATACTATCTGCGTGATAAAACATGTGAAGCCTTTATTGATTTTCACATTGACACACAACTACTAGTGTACTGTAGGTGTACATATGCTTGCAGAACAATTTACCCTTGTACATTCTCTACCCTTGTTTTTTGTGAACACATTTTTCATAAAATGTTCACAAAATTGATATAATTCATAACATAACAGACACAGTCAAACACACACACACAGATCCTGCATCTCTACCGTTGTAAAGTACAATCAAACTTACAGTCACAATATGCAAACTTAAAAATACATATATATTATATGACTGGAGACATGCAAATGTAACAGCAGATGTGTTACTGTACGTCTCAGTGCGGCACTGTGATGTTTATTTTATTTTACCTTTATTTAACTGGGCAAGTCAGTTAAGAACAAATTCTTATTTACAATGACGGCCTACACCGGCCAAACCCGGACGACGCTGGCCCAATTGTGCGCCGCCCTATGGGACTCCCAATCACGGCCGGTTGTGATACAGCCTGGAATCGAACCAGGGGGTCTGTATTGACGCCTCAAGCACTGAGATGCAGTGCCTTAGACCGCTGCGCCACTCGGGAGCCCGAGTGGGCGCGATCAGTGCGGCCAGTGTCAGAAAATGAGCGAGAGACCGGCTGCTCATTTGTCTGGAGAACAACATAAGTTTGGCCTTGAATGCTTTCACATTGGAATACAGTTAATGTGCAAAAACACATTTACATCGTTCAGATGCCCCAATATGTCCACACCAAAAGCAAAGTCGCCCAGCCAGTCTGTGTCTTTCAACTCTGAGAAGTCGTCAGCTTTACCAACCGTATCAAGGAACATACCTATCTCCCCTCTCAGTTCCCACACATGGTCGAAATACTTTTCCCAGGCTTAGCCAGCGCACATTTGAATGGTACAAGTCTTGGTGCTCTGCCTCTGTGTCATTGAGCAGCTGAATGAACTGACGATGGTTAAGCCCCCTTGCCCATATAAAGTTGAAAAGTTTTACAACCACTTTGACAACATTTTCCAGCTTTAACACACTTTTACACAGGGATCTGTACACAATTCCCGGAAGCTGAAAATGTCCCAGTTCTTCCATGGCCTGCATACTCACCAGACATGTCACCCATTGAGCATATTTGGGATGCTCTGGATCGACGTGTACGACAGCGTGTTCCAGTTCACGCCAATATCCAGCAACTTTGCACAGCCATTGAAGAGGAGTGGGACAACATTACACAGGCCACAATCAACAGCCTGATCAACTCTATGCGAAGGAGATGTGTCGCGCTGCATGAGGCAAATGGTGGTCACACCAGATACTAACTGGTTTTCTGATCCACACCCCTACCTTTTTTTTTTTTAAGGTTTCTGTGACCAACCGATGCATATCCGTATTCCTAGTCATGTGAAATCCATAGATTAGGGCCTAATGAATTTATTTCAATTGACTGTTTTCCTTATATGACCTGTAACTCTGTAAAATCTTTGAAATTGTTACATGGTGCGTTTCATGTTTTTGTTCAGTTTATCTGTGCCATCATGGGCAGTGCCATTGTGGACTTTCTTGTGGCAAGTGTGCCATCTATCCATCTCTGGCTCCAAGGTGATTTTGAACATGGGAAGAAACAATTATTTAATTTACCTCTATCTCCTCTAGGGATTATCCAATCAATGAAGCATGACATAATGGATCTAGGTCTTCGTATTGTGATGACAACAGTCCATCTGAAAAGTCAGGTTTATTTTACTTCTTCGTTTACTACTATTTTTTTTCAACTCTGAGTTCCGAAAAAACTATTAATTACATAATGGAATTGCTATGATACAGATTCGTCCATTTTGTGAAGGTGCCCTATTTGCCTACTTCCTCATTTGTGTAATGCATATGAATCATCTACTGAATATGGTCGTGTTCCCCTGCTCAGACTTTGCATGCATCAACCAATGGTTGCGTGCCACGTTATCGTCTGTGTCGTCGACTGACAGATTGCTATTACAGTTGATGTGGTTAGCTGATACTTAAATACCAGGCATCAGCAGCGTCTGAGCAGAGGAACGCGCACTATGACTTTTTAGGGAGCCTAATTAAACGATCGGATTGGAAATGTCACCACCTGTCTGACCTAAAGACTGATTTTACACAGGCAAGCTAATTGTTGTTTCACTAATTTATATTTTGACCAAGCAGAACAGCTCTTTTGCTAATCATTTGGGTTTTTCTATTTAGCTAATGCATTTGTTTTCAGGGAAAAATAAATGTCAATATAATTATACATTCATAAAACCTTTGCCTACTCTTTACCGCTATCTCTTCCTGTACCACCAGGTCTCCAGGTGTTATGGTGGAATCGTCATACTGGTGCAAATACCTGCAATACCTGATTATGTCCTACAGAGGTTTGGATTTCCAGTATCCAGAACTAGGGTTATACTGTCAGACAAGACCAACCCTACAGTGCACACCAGAGGCTGATGCCTTTAACCCATGTGAAGACATAGCAGGTAGAATCAAGAATTGCTTTGCTCAACTCTTTGGGTGCAGGGTTAAGAATACAAACTGGGAAAGGAAAACCCTCACTCACTGTGGTATTTGGAAGTTTGAATGTTCTTTGTCAGCCATCAGAGGTCAAACAAACGGACATGTGACAGCGTTGAAAGAACAGTAGACCTGATGCACCCATATTCAGAGATGACATCACTGACATACTGTCTCATGTTATTTTACTATTGTTTTACTGTTATTTTACTATTGTTTTACTGTTATTTTACTATTGTTTTACTGTTATTTTAGAGAACGTATTGTTTATCTTTCTCACTTTTTATTAATTTAATTATGTTACACACCTTGAACTGCATCTTTTGTAAGAAATGTGTTGTTTGATTCAAGTTTGATTGATTGAGTTTGACTGCTTTTCCCTTGTTAATTCCAGATTTCAGTTTCCTCAGAGTCGCCATCTGGTTCATCAACATCCTGGCGATCGCCGGCAACCTGACGGTCCTCCTCATCTTCTTCTTCAGTCGCTGTAAACTCACCGTACCGCGCTTCCTTGTATCACCTGGCCTTCGCCGACTTCTGCATGATTGCTGCCGTCGACCTCCGCACCCGAGGCCACTACAGCGAGCATGCCATCGATTGGCAGACGGGGGCGGGTTGTAACGCGGCGGGCTTCCTGTCTGTGTTTGGCGGGGAGCTATTGGTGTATACGTTGTCGACTATCACTCTGGAGCGCTGGCATACGATACCTAATGCCTTGCAGCTGGAGAAGAGGCCTGGTGCATGCTGCTGGCATCATGGCTGGAGGGTGGTTGATCTGTCTGGGAATGGCCATGCTCCCCCTGGTGGGGGTCAGTAGCTACAGCAGGGTATGATATGATATACTGTATACTATAAAAACACACCAGAACTATGGACTGCCGAGCGTACCTAGTTCTTCTTACCAGAATATCGGCCGACACTTTCTGTTCATTTTCCAACGATTCTACATGTTGAATCCACGCAAATAGCCACCACTAGTCGCACCCAGGAGGTGGTCTCTATAAAACACCACAGCGACAGGAAGTGATGGCCGTCCATTGTTTTCGCTATAACACACCGCGGCGACGATGACCGTCCATCATTCTGGGTAGTTCTTTACTTTATTGTCCCAGAGGTGAAAATTGGTAAGGAGGGGAAAATTGTTTAAGACACTTTTTCTTCAATACTGCTGTATACATATAACACATATATACAATAATTAGCTGTATATTCCAGGTGAGCATGTGCCTTCCCACTCATCTGGCCCTTCATCTTCCTGCTCCTCCACTTCAACTTCCTGTTGGTCTGCGTCTGCTACATCCTCATCTGGCTGTACGGAACCCCCAGTTCCCCGGCCGCAGCGCAGACGCTAAGATCGCCAAGCGCATGGCTGTCCTAATTTTCACCTACCTCCTCTGCATGGCACCCATCTCATTCTTCGCTATATCCGAGGCCTTTAAGGTTCCGCTGATTACCGTCACCAACTCCAAGATACTCCTGGTGTCTGTTCTTTCCTGTGCCAACCCTTTCCTCTATGCCATCTTTACTAAGGCTTTCAGGAAGGATGCCTATCTGTTACTGAGTAACATGGGCTGCTGCGAGAGTAAAGCTAATATGTACCGGATGAAGGCGTATTGCTCGGAGAATGTGGTGAAGAGTAGTTCTGGTTCTTCTGGGAACAAGGGCACACTGCGTTGTCCAACACTAAGGATGGACCCTCTGCCATCGCAGAGCCGACAGCTTAGGGCCTCTTTACACTACACTACTTTGATGACACAAACTAGGTCCAGGAGAGATTCTTGTGTAGTGTAAAGAGACGGATCTAGATTCAAATCTCTCTTTAAGAGATGTCTCCCACACTTCCTCCCGAGGTAGTGTGGGAGACATCTACACCACATACCCCCCTTTGAGTGGCAGAGTGGAAAGACATCGGCTCTCCCACACCACACGTCCCTGTAAGAATGACCTTAATACCAGTAGACAGCATTTTTGCTCTATTAGCCAAATTGAAAATTAAAGGCTTTTAAAATATCCACACATTTGTGAATCATTGCATTAACCAAGTGCCGCTCTGTCATTGCTTGTCCATATATATGTACTGTATATATTCTTAAATTCCATTCCTTACTAGATTTGTGTGTATTGGATATATGTTATGAAATTGTTAGATATTACTTGTTAGATATTACTGCACTGTCGGAGCTAGGAGCACAAGCATTTCGCTACACACGCAATAACATCTGATAAACACATGTATGTGACAAATAACATTTGATTTGATTTGAAGTGTGCAACACTGGCTTCGTTTAGACAGGCAGCCCAATGCTGATATTTTTTTCACTAATTGGTATTTTGACCAATCAGATCAGCTCTGAGAGAGCGCATGTGAAAAGATCTGATGTGATTGGTCAATCAGTGGAAAAATATCAGAATTGGACTGCCTGTCTAAACGAAGCCTACAGTGAGGGAAAAAAGTATTTGATCCCCTGCTGATTTTGTATGTTTGCCCACTGACAAAGCAATGATCAGTCTATAATTTTAATGGTAGGTTTATTTGAACAGTGAGAGACAGAATAACAACAAAAAAATCGCATGTCAAAAATGTTATAAATTGATTTGCATTTTAATGAGGGAAATAAGTATTCGACCCCCTCTCAATCAGAACGATTTCTGGCTCCCAGATGTATTTTATACAGGTAACAAGATGAGATTAGGAGCACACTCTTAAAGGGAGTGCTCCTAAACTCAGCTTGTTACCTGTATAAAAGACACCTGTCCACAGAAGCAATCAATCAATCAGATTCCAAACTCTCCACCATGGCCAAGACCAAAGAGCTCTCCAAGGATGTCAGGGACAAGATTGTAGACCTACACAAGGCTGGAATGGGCTACAAGACCATCGCCAAGCAGCTTGGTGAGAAGGTGACAACAGTTGGTGTGATTATTCGCAAAAGGAAGAAGAAACACAAAATAACTGTCAATCTCCCTTGGCCTGGGGCTCCATGCGAGATCTCACCTCGTGGAGTTGCAATGATCATGAGAACGGTGAGGAATCAGCCCAGAACTACACGGGAGGATCTTGTCAATGATCTCAAGGCAGCTGGGACCATAGTCACCAAGAAAACAATTGGTAACACACTACGCCGTGAAGGACTGAAATCCTGCAGCGCCCGCAAGTTCCCCCTGCTCAAGAAAGCACATATACAGTGCCGTCTGAAGTTTGCCAATGAACATCTGAATGATTCAGAGGAGAACTGGGTGAAAGTGTTGTGGTCAGATGAGACCAAAATCGAGCTCTTTGGCATCAACTCAACTCGCCGTGTTTGGAGGAGGAGGAATGCTGCCTATGACCCCAAGAACACCATCCCCACCATCAAACATGGAGGTGGAAACATTATGCTTTGGGGTGTGTTTTTCTGCTAAGGGGACAGGACAACTTCACCGCATCAAAGGGACGATGGACGGGGCCATATACCATCAAATCTTGTGTGAGAACCTCCTTCCCTCAGCTAGGGCATTGAAAATGGATCGTGGATGGGTATTCCAGCATGACAATGACCCAAAACACACGGCCAAGGCAACAAAGGAGTGGCTCAAGAAGAAGCACATTAAGGTCCTGGAGTGGCCTAGCCAGTCTCCAGACCTTAATCCCATAGAAAATCTGTGGAGGGAGCTGAAGGTTCGAGTTGCCAAACGTCAGCCTCGAAACCTTAACGACTTGGAGAAGATCTGCAAAGAGGAGTGGAACAAAATCCCTCCTGAGATGTGTGCAAACCTGGTGGCCAACTACAAGAAACGTCTGACCTCTGTGATTGCCAACAAGGGTTTTGCCACCAAGTACTAAGTCATGTTTTGCAGCGGGGTCAAATACTTATTTCCCTCATTAAAATGCAAATCATTTTTGACATGCGTTTTTCTGGATTTTTGTTGTTGTTATTCTGTCTCTCACTGTTCAAATAAACCTACCATTAAAATTATAGACTGATCATGTCTTTGTCATTGGGAAAACGTACAAAATCAGCAGGGGATCAAATAATTTTTTCCCTCACTGTATGTGCAACATGGTTTAGATGAGAAGCTCTATAGTTTGAATTGCTATCCTTAATTTGTTTGTCTATATACTATGACAGGGTTTTTCTAACTTTTCTTGCCGGCGACCCAGGGACCCCCATCATATGTTAGCCCCACAAAAAAGTAATGTCTTGTCTTATCAGGTGAATGATAATTACAAGTAGAAGTAATCCATTTGAAAATGAATAGATCTGGTAGATGGTCCCCACAGTTCATTAGAAGAGGAAGTGTAAACTCCAACATTACTATTAGAAAGGTACAGCATCTTAGCGGAGGTGAAAACATTTTGCTGTTGTAAAGCTCATTTTCTCCAGTTCTACACATTTTTTCCATTGATTTTGACGTTTTAAAGCAAATTTCCTGCAATTCCTGCTTAAACATTATAACAAAATCAATGGACATGTGCCCATTATTTTCGATTCTCCCTGACTGTCTAGCTTTTATTTGATTGTTAGTTCTCAAAGATGGTATTATTAAAAATATATATTTCAATATCATTCCTGCATGCTTTCTATCTGGTTTTGGTCATTTAAGTTGACACTGAAACTGTTTTTCCATCCCGAAAATGATCACCCGCTTAAGAATTTTCTATACAGAAAAGCACTGTAATTAGCTCCAATTACTGTAATTTCCTCCATATTAAAGGAACAGTTTGAGATTTTGGCAATGAAGCCGTTTATCTACTTCCCCAGAGTCGGATGAACAGGAACAGCTAGCATGCTAACTGTTCCAGTAGACTTCCAGTCATTGCACTAACGCTAGTTAGCGTTGGCTCGTGAAACTACCTCTAACTTCCTTCATACTGGATGCAGAGACATAAAAATGGTGTTCACGATGGTATTATGTTGTAGCTATGTTCACAAAAAAAATCAATAAAAATTAAAAAATTAAAAAATAAACTGGGGCCACTGTACTATGGTATTTACGGTATGCTAATAGCTGCACTTACACATGAAGCAGGCATGTGACTTTGGCCACACCACATCTAAGGCAAGTGTAAACAGAAAAGTTGTAAATCTGATGTTGAAGAGAGATCTCACTAGACATATTTTACTTTAAAGAGCATGGAGATTAGTGGACAATCTGAAATGGCACCCTATTATAATAATAATAATAAGCCATTTAGCAGACGCTTTTATCCAAAGCGACTTACAGTCATGCGTGCATACATTATTTTTTTTTTTGTGTATGGGTGGTCCCGGGGATCGAACCCACTACCTTGTCGTACAAGCGCCGTGCTCTACCAGTTGAGCTACAGAGGACCTCTATTCCTTAGAGGCCAAATCTAATGCACTATGTTGGGTATAGGGACCATTTGCACATAGCGTTCCACTGATGGTGTACATTTTACACCTTAGAACTAGGATTGTCTGCAACTTATTGTAAATCAAAGAGACTGTAAACAATATTGAAGGTTTGAACTCCATCTCATTTTGAATAGGCTACAATGAAATTGTAAATCTGTCATTCAACCAAATTGTATTTGAATAAAACAATATTTTCTGTTGGCATTCCAGACTTTCTGGGCGAATCAATGCTACAGTATCTACATTTTTAAAACAGAATAACTATTTGAATGTATATATTGTAGCGAAGTTCGGGGGGGTAGCGCCGACCGGGACTCAAACCCGGCTCCAGCGACTGTTAACCGTTATGCCAAGAGGTCCGAACCTCTTGATGAAGTCGCTACGTGTTCAGTTAAGGTCCTTTTTTATTTCACCTTTATTTAACCAGGTAAGCCAGTTGAGAACAAGTTCTCATTTACAACTGTGACCTGGCCAAGATAAAGCAAAGCAGTGCGATTAAAAACAACAACAACACAGAGTTACACATGGGATAAAACAAAACATACAGTCAATAACACAATAGAAAATCTATATGCAGTGTGTGCAAATGTAGTAAGTTATGGAGGTAAGGCAATAAATAGGCCATAGTGCAAAATAATTACAATTTAGTATTAACACTGGAGTGATAGATGTGCAGAAGATGATGTGCAAATAGAGATACTGGGGTGCAAATGAGCAAAATAAATAACAATATGGGGATGAGGTAGTTGGGTGGGCTAATTACAGATGTGCTGTGTACAGGTGCAGTGATCGGTAAGCTGCTCTGACAACTGATGCTTAAAGTTAGTGAGGGAGATAAGAGTCTCCAGCTTCAGAGATTTTTGTAGTTCGTTCCAGTCATTAGCAGCAGAGAACTGGAAGGAATGGCGGCCAAAGGAGGTGTTGGCTTTTGGGATGACCAGTGAGATATACCTGCTGGAGCACATACTACGGGTGGGTGTTGCTATGGTGACCAATGAGCTAAAATTAGGCGGGGATTTGCCTAGCAGTGATTTATAGATGACCTGGAGCCAGTGGGTTTGGTTACGAATATGTAGTGAGGGCCAGCCAACGAGAGCGTACAGGTCACAATGGTGGGTAGTATATGGGGCTTTGGTGACAAAACGGATGGCACTGTGATAGACTACTACTACTGTGATAGTTTTACGAGGGCATGTTTGGCAGCATGTACACTTAACCAAAACATAAAAGCAACATGTAAAGTGTTGGTCCCATGTTTCATGAGCTGAAATAAAAGATCACAGAAACTTTCCATACGCACAAAAATCTTATTTCTCTCAAATGTTGTGCACAAAGTTGTTTACATCCCTGTTAGTGAGCGTTTCTCCTTTTCCAAGAGAATTCATCCACCTGACAGGTGTGGCATATCAAGAAGCTGATTAAACAGCATGATCATGGCTTCCGGTTTAGCATGTGAATGGAGAAGAAGCTTGTGGACGCATAATACAATGCCACAGATGTCTCAAGTTTTGAGGGAGCGTGCAATTGGCATGCTGACTGCAGGAATGTCCACCAGAGCTGTTGCCAGTTATTGAATGTTTATTTCTCTACCATAAGCCGCCTCTAACGTTGTTTTAGGGAATTTGGCAGTATGTCCAACCGGCCTCACAACCGCAGACCACGTGTAACCACGCCAGCCCAGGACCTCCACATCCGGCTTCTTCACCTGCGGGATCGTCTGAGACCAGCTGATGAAACGGAGGAGTATTTCTATCTATAATAAAGCCCTTTTGTGGGGAAAAACTCATTCTGATTGGCTAGCCCTGGCTCCCCAATGGGTGGGCCTATGCCCTCCCAGGCCCACCCATGGCTGCACCCCTGCCCAGTTATGTGAAATCCATAGATTAGGGCCTAATGAATTTATTTCAATTGACTGAATTCCTTATATGAACTGTAACTGAGTAAAATCTTTGAAATTGTTGCATGTTGCTTTTTGTATTTTTTTTTTACATTTGGAAACAAACATTTGGAATAGAGTACTATGGAATATCGTCAAGCAGAGGCTGTCAATGGCTGTCTGTAGACCATTAGAATGTGACAAACTGTCCACAGACAGTCGTTAGACCAAGCATAAACCAGCCTTGAATTTCACATAAGGCCGCCACACTGCAGACCTGTTGCACGTATGGAAATGTGTCCATATAAATAGCAGATAATGTTGTGTTGTTATAAAAGGTGCTGTAAATGCGAGCGATCCTTTATTTATTGTTCTCATTTTAGTCAAATCCCCTATTGTCCTAGTCTTACTAACACTCGTCAGCCAGGATACTATTGTCCTTGTACAGGAGATTACTATTTTTACTGTTTATTTCTTGTAAGGACTCATCAACACTGTTAATTGTTAGATCACCTGACTACATTTTAATTGTTTTGTCATTGAATTATTGGTAGAAAAGTGTGACAGTAGTCTAACTTTTGATGAGCAGTTGTCAATATTTGCAGCAGCTAATAGCCTGCTGTACTATAAGGAGATGAATCAATATGGGTAAGCGTTGAAGGGAAAGAAGAGTCCCCGCCCTAAAATGGGATCCCTCAAAAACCTCTAGTGACGTGAGTTCACCAAAGAAAGTTGAAACGTGATTTCACATTCCAGAGAAATGTGATTTCCAGATCTCCAATCGTGGAGGATCTTCTTAGGACGAAAACAGCTGGATTGTAGACTAGGGCAAAACGAGTTTCAGTGTTATTAACGATGTTGAGAATGAAAACGATTTGTAGTAAAGTGTCAGAGCCCTCCAAAACGACTTCTAGAAAATAGTTGGATAACCTACTTTTCATTTTTATTGGAGAGGAGCTGGTCGCGGATCAATTCCCGGTGTGTGCGCACTGCACACTATTTACAATGGCAAAAAAGTCGACTAAGATACCTCTATGGACTGTTTTACTTTCTACAAGTGTTGGCATCATTTTGGGGAATCTGGCCAGTGGTAAGTTGCAATGTAACCATTTTGGGGGTTTTGAAGGACTTTGAACACAACTCTTTCTGGTTATAGTTTTTTAAAACTATAACCAGGCACTACCACACTAATTACTATGGCAAAAAAGTAGACTGCAATACTTCTATGGACTATTTTACTTTCGCATAATTTGGGGGAATCTGGCCATAGGTAAAATGTACCACTGGCCAGATTCCCCAAAATTATGCCAACACTCATAGAAAGTAAAATATTCCATAGAAGTATTGTAGTCCACTTTTACTAGCAATTTAACCATTTGGGGGTTTTGGAGGACTTTGAACACAACTCTTTCTGTCGAAAGTTAATTATGTATTTGATAAATCAACTGCTGTTTTTCAATCAGTTAATTGTCGATGTTTCATATTGGTTCATTTTGAAACTTGAGTTTGAGATGTATTCGATTCTAAATTAATTAATTCCATATGTTGATTTATTATCCTGGCTTTAAGCTATTAACGCGAAACCAACTTTAAAACATACAGACTGCCCCAACATAGATTGCTTGAGAAAATAATTTTGATAGCATTTATTATTTTTGTACTGCAACAATATTTCAATAGGGAAAAAAGAGCCATAGACTTTTCTTGACCTATCTCCTCTTTCACCATATATAATCTCCAACCCAACGTTGAGATGTGCAGACTGGCCCAATTTAGATTGCTTGTCAAAGGATTTTTGATTCTATGTATACTTTTTGAACTATAACGATTTTAAAGTTGCAGAAATTAACATGTTTTAAATGAGAACAATAGGAATACAGGGGTAGCTTTTGAAAATGGTCCTGCTCCTTGGCCACAAGCCCACGCTTTGATGGTGTTCACCTCATCCTTCAGTGTGGGTTTAATCCCAGCCTAAAGTATAGGGTTCAATCCCAGCCTAAAGTATAGGGTTTAATCCCAGCCTACAATATAGGGTTTAATCCCAGCCTACAGTATAGGGTTCAATCCCAGCCTACAATATAGGGTTTAATCCCAGCCTACAGTATAGGGTTTAATCCCAGCCTACAGTATAGGGTTTAATCCCAGCCTACAGTATAGGGTTTAATCCCAGCCTACAGTATAGGGTTTAATCCCAGCCTACAGTATAGGGTTTAATCCCAGCCTACAATATAGGGTTTAATCCCAGCCTATAGTATAGGGTTTAATCCCAGCCTACAGTATAGGGTTTAATCCCAACCTACAGTACAGGGTTTCATCCCAGTCTACAGTACAGGGTTTCATCCCAGTCTACAGTATAGGCTTGTCAGGCATTTCCAGGTGGTACATAATAAATGACCTCCCTGTAGCATCCAGTCTGATTGATAAAAGTCACCTTGTCCTTTTGCAACTAATTGGTCTTTTGACTAATCAGATTAGATATTTTGGCAATAATTGGGCAAAATATTAGAATTGGGCTGCCTGTGTAAATGCAGTCTGTGTTGTAAAAATTAATAAATATATGTTTTATTGTCACATACATTGGATAGGTGCAGTGAAATGTGTTGTTTTACAGGGTCAGCCATAGTAGTATGGTGCTCCTGGAGCAAATTCGATCTTTTACCTTGTCGGCTCGGCTATTCAAACCAGCGACCTTTTGGTTACTGGCTCAACGTACAGGCTTGGCCTTTGCCCTCTAGTACCACTAACACATTGGATTATTGCTTCCAGGGAGGCAGAACAGTTTACTTCCTCTGATAACATATTATTTTAACTCATAAAACTGCTGATATTTCCTCCTTCCTCTCTGTCCCAGGGAAAGCTGGTGGCAGTTAGTCTGGTCCCAGATCTGTTTGTTCTGTCTTGCCAACAATTACCATAGCAGTTGGCAAGACAGCACATGCAGATCTGGAACCAGGCTACACAAAAATATCACTTGGCTGAGATATCCTAGGGAGGACCCAGAAAATGACTGAAATACTCCAGATATTGGGGAGATTCCTCTGCTTAGTGAATGTTCTTCTCTTAGCACAGGGAGAGGGAGAGGCTGTTCCACAAATGCAGAGTGGTATTGAATATTAAATTAACTCTGTTCCACCTCCTTGAATATCCAATTAACTCTGTTCCACCTCCTCCTATACAGTCTCTGTACCATTTGAGTTAGGCTAATCATGGTGGCTTGAATCATTTGAGTAGTTCCAACTCTGAGGGAAATATAAATGTATGGAACTGAAACGTTAGTTTCAACTGCAGATTATTCCCCAATCCCCCTGTGATGTTATTTGGTCTGTGAGAAATATATACAGGTATTGACTATTGATCTAAGGTAGGAAAAATGACAGATATGGTCTATAATATTGTAACAGGCTTTGGAAATGACCGTCCCTTCCTGCTCACATACAGCTGAGCATCATGGGAGTCCCTATGTTTACCGTGTCTCTGGAGGACCTGGTCGTGGCCGTGGCATTGTTTCCCCCAGCATGCCAGGACGTCAGATTCGCTCCCCCCAGCCCACCGCACCCCCCGAGACCCTCATCGTACCAGCCCACAGCCCGAGGGTCCACCTCAGCCAGGATGACATCAAGAAGCTGAGGTTACTATCTATCAGTCACTGACATCAAGAAGCTGAGGTTACTATCTATCAATCACTGACATCAAGAAGCTGAGGTTACTATCTATCAATCACTGACATCAAGAAGCTGAGGTTACCATCAATCAATCAGTCACTGACATCAATAAGCTGAGGTTACTATCAATCAATCACTGACATCAATAAGCTGAGGTTACCATCAATCAATCAATCACTGACATCAATAAGCTGAGGTTACTATCAATCAGTCACTGACATCAAGAAGCTGAGGTTGCTATCTATCAATCACTGACATCAAGAAGCTGAGGTTACTATCTATCAATCACTGTTGATGTTGTAACTGTTGTCTTATTATCATTAGGTAGATATTAGATATTCATGGGTTTTTATTCATCAATCCGTGTGCTAACTCTGAGGTTCATATGCACATCTTGTTGAGGTGTTTTTCATTTGCAGCCCTAAAATTAAACTCAACTCAACTTCTGTTCAACTCTATTCTATTCTATTCTATTAATTCCCCTCCAGGTTCAAGCCCACGGTGGGGTCGGTGCACCTATCAGAGGGCCACAAGGCCAAGTTCAACTGCTCCATCGAGGTCCCTGACAACCACCTGGACCTCACCGTGCTGTGGTGGAAGAACAACATGGAGCTGGCTGAAAACCTGCAGGTGGTCATCAACGAACTACAGACCGTCACACATGGGGTCATGACCCTGCTGTCCACCGTCAGGTAACTGTGACGGGAGCACTGTGACGGGAGCACTGTGACATTCATGGCAGACACAGCATGTGAAGAAAAGAGCGTTTAAACTTAGATCATTTGGATCGTTTGGATACTTAGATCATTTGGATCGTTTGGATACTTAGATCATTGCACATTTTTATAATTTAACTGCCAAGTTTTCAGTTACAGTCGACCTTCATCAGAACATCGATAGACAAACACAAAAAGCGAGTGCAATCAGTATTATAAATCAGGTGTAAAAGTTCTGAAATGTCAGGATCGCTAAATTTCTCCACTACTTGTGTTTCAGCATAACTCGTGTGCAGAGAGCTGACGCTGGGGACTACCACTGTAGACTGAGAGTCAGTGACATAGAGATAGAGTCCCAGCCTATCAGCATTCAGGTCGAAGGTGAGTCCCCACATCATACCAGTGCATGAAATGATGACTAGAGTTTCCATCACTGGTTCTTAACATATTTAATGTGTTTGAGGGGATCAGTTTGGCGCAGAATTGCCGATATTGATCATAATGAGTAATTGATCATAATAAGTAGTTATTGATCATAATAAGTAGTTATTTGGGGTATAAGGTGAATTGTAGATCAGGGATTCTGCAGTCTGACTGCAATGTAGTCCATCTCAAACATGTATTCTGTGGGTGTGCGTGTGTTTAGGTCTACCAACGTTCACCAGACACCCAGATGACATGAACGTAACTCGTAACAGCCCCTTTAACCTGTCATGTGAAGCGGTGGGTTCCCCGAATCCTATCACGATCCGCTGGCTACGCAACGGAGTTCCTGAGATGGGGTACCTTACCTCCCCCAGCATGTACACTGTACCAGGTCAGAGGGAGAGAGAGAGACACACGCACATGGGCGCATGTACAGACGAGCACACACATGCGCGTATACATGCATGCGCAGAATGCACATACACACAAACACACACATATGCACATACACACAAACACACACACACATATGCACGTACAATCTCTTGCTGTCATGTGAAGTATTGAACTGTGGCCACCAATATTATCTCAGTACCTCTTTCTGGGTTTCAGATAGTCAGTACCTCTTTCTGGGTTTCAGATAGTCAGTACCTCTTTCTGGGTTTCAGATAGTCAGTACCTCTTTCTGGGTTTCAGATAGTCAGTACCTCTTTCTGGGTTTCAGAAAGTCTGAAGGTGGACTGTTTGGTATCCTAGTCAGCATCTGGTCTAAAGTAGTGCACTACATAGGGAATATGGTGTAAAGTGGTGCACTACATAGGGGATATGGTGTAAAGTGGTGCACTACATAGGGGATATGGTGTAAAGTGGTGCACTACATAGGGAATATGGTGTAAAGTAGTGCACTACATAGGGGATATGGTGTAAAGTGGTGCACTACATAGGGAATATGGTGTAAAGTGGTGCACTACACAGGGGATATGGTGTAAAGTGGTGCACTACATAGGGAATATGGTGTAAAGTAGTGCACTACATAGGTGATATGGTGTAAAGTGGTGCACTACATAGGGGATATGGTACCATTTGGGACACATCCGTAGCCTCTCTCCTAAGGCCTAGAAAACCTTTTTAAAAATAAAAGAAAGTGGACTTCCACGCTGTGCTTTGCCCATTTCTAAACGTTGATCACCTGAATCATTCCTTTATAACACCACAAATGTACTGTAGGTTGTGTTGAGTTGGGTTTTCTGGCATTAGTGGGATACACAACATCCCCCAAGTCCTGAAGGAAATCTGTGCATAGGTCTATTAAGGGAAATGTTTTGTTCTGTGTGTATATTATTCAGTTTTACACATCGTTTCCCTTATCTAAGTTAAATTACCTTGTTATGTAGCCTCCCGAGTGGCGCACTGCATCGCGGTGCTTGAGGGGCGTCACTACAGACCCGGGTTCGATCCCAGGCTGTGTCACAGCTGGCTGTGACCGGGAGACCCATGAGGCGGCACACAATTGGCCCAGTGTCATCCGGGTTAGGGGAGTGTTTGGCCGGCCGGGATTTCCTTGTCCCGTCGCGCTCTAGCGACTCCTTGTGGCAGGCCGGGCGCCTGCAAGCTGACTTCTGTCGCCAGCTGGACGGTGTTTCCTCCGTCCAGCTGGCGTCCTACGGACTCAGGTAGGCGAAGGTCGAGAGCCATGCGTCCTCCGAAACACGACCCTGCCAAGCCGCACTGCTTCTTGAAACACTGCTCGCTTAACCCGGAAGCCAGCCGCACCAATGTGTCGGAGGAAACACTGTCCAACTGGCGACCGAAGTCGACTTGCAATCGCCCGGCCCGCCACAAGGAGTCACTAGAGCGCGACGGGACAAGGAAATCCCGGCAGGCCAAACACTCCCCTAACCCGGACGACGCTCTCTCTCTCTTCTCTATTTTCCTCTATCGCTCTCTCTCTCGCGCTCTCTCTCTTCTCTATTTTCCTCTCTCTCTCTATCTATTCTCTCCACCTATCACTTTCTCTCTCGCTCTCTCTCTCGCGCTCTCTCTCGCACTCTCTCGTGCTCTCTCTCTTTCTCTCTCTCGCGCTCTCTCTCTTCTCTATTTTCCTCTCTCTCTCTCTCTCTCCCCCTATTGCTTTCTCTCTCTCTCTCTCGCTCTCTCTCTCTCTCTCCTCTCCTGCTACCAAGAATATCACTGTGTTCACTGTCACTGTGGGCCCCCAGGGTTACAATGCTGAATAACTAACCACTTTCAACCGGACTCACTCATGCTTTTACAGTGCCTATGTGTGGACTGTATACCTAGATAACCATGTTGGTTATTGGGGAAAATGGATTCTTTCAGTTGGTCTTGGTGGGGGAGGAACCTGATACTGTTGGGTCAAGATAAGCTTCGTCTGCAAGGAGATGTTTTTTGTGGTTTGAAGAATGGGGATGTGTTGTCTGCCAAGACTGATTAAAGCTACAACATTTAGGACATTTGCTAAGTTAGTTATGGTTTGAATCCTAAAGGGTACCTAATAAATACATGTGAAGTGTGAGCAGTGTTGTGAGCATAAACCTTGAAGTTACATAACATTGGCTCTACACAATTTACAGCAGTTAATTTACTTGATGCCCTAGAGCAAAGCATTCTTGTTAAATCCCCCCTGTGGAGCAGAGTAGTCACAGAGGTGAGTTGTGGGTCTTTAGTAGTCTAGACTCAGTGGTGGGTCTTTAGTAGTCTAGACTCAGTGGTGGGTATTTAGTAGTCTAGACTCAGTGGTGGGTCTTTAGTAGTCTAGACTCAGTGGTGGGTCTTTAGTAGTCTAGACTCAGTGGTGGGTCTTTAGTAGTCTAGACTCAGTGGTGAGTTGTGGGTCTTTAGTAGTCTAGACTCAGTGGTGGGTCTTTAGTAGTCTAGACTCAGTGATGAGTCTTTAGAGGTCTAGAGTCAGTGGTGGGTCTTTAGTAGTCTAGACTCAGTGGTGAGTTGTGGGTCTTTAGTAGTCTAGACTCAGTGGTGAGTGGTGGGTCTTTAGTAGTCTAGACTCAGTGGTGAGTTGTGGGTCTGCTTGCTGAGAGGTGGAGGATTAATGGTCAGAGTTGATATTTTGACTAGCGTGTGCTGCGGCTAGGGTTGTGAGCTTGTGTGTGTGTGTATGTGATGGGGGTTGTAGGGGAGATGGACGGATCGGGGGATGGCTCCTTAGACAAAGGCCTCATTCACGGGACGGCCCACTACTCCCGCTCTGCTCTGCAGGGAGGGGCTGGAATGGGAGTCTGGCTGGGGGCTGCAGGCTTTTATTTTTACTAGGCTGGGGGTCTACTATTGTTACTAGGCTGGTAGTCTACTATTGTTACTAGGCTGGTAGTCTACTATTGTTACTAGGCTGGTAGTCTACTATTGTTACTAGGCTGGTAGTCTACTATTGTTACTAAGCTGGTAGTCTACTATTGTTACTAGGCTGGTAGTCTACTTTTGTTATGGGTAGCCTTTCCTCCCTCAAAACACTGATCAAATAAAATGAAATGTTATTCATCACATGCTTGGTAAACAACAGGTAGTCAAGACTCAGTGGTGAGTTGTGGGTCTTTAGTAGTCTAGACTCAGTGGTGAGTGGTGGGTCTTTAGTAGTCTAGACTCAGTGGTGAGTGGTGGGTCTTTAGTAGTCTAGACTCAGTGATGAGTTGTGGGTCTTAAGTAGTCTAGACTTAGTGGTGAGTTGTGGGTCTTTAGTAGTCTAGACTCAGTGATGAGTTGTGGGTCTTAAGTAGTCTAGACTCAGTGAACAGTGAAATGCCTTATGGACCCTTCCCAACAATACAGAGAGAGAAAATCAAATACCAGTTTCCATGAATGTATATTGCCGTCCAGTCAGCCACTCCCAGAACAATACCCAGCAAACATGACGCAATTGGCCCCATGTAGGTATTCGGGGGGCAAGGTGGGCATGGGTTAGCCCACACAAGCCCTGCACGGGTAAGCCCACACAAGCCCTGCACGGGTAAGCCCACACCAAGCCCTGCATGGGTTAGCCCACACCAAGCCCTGCATGGGTTAGCCCACACCAAGCCCTGCATGGGTAAGCCCACACCAAGCCCTGCACGGGTAAGCCCACACCAAGCCCTGCATGGGTTAGCCCACACCAAGCCCTGCACGGGTAAGCCCACACCAAGCCCTGCATGGGTTAGCCCACACCAAGCCCTGCATGGGTTAGCCCACACCAAGCCCTGCATGGGTTAGCCCACACAAGCCCTGCATGGGTTAGCCCACACCAAGCCCTGCATGGGTTAGCCCACACCAAGCCCTGCACGGGTAAGCCCACACCAAGCCCTGCATGGGTTAGCCCACACCAAGCCCTGCACGGGTAAGCCCACACCAAGCCCTGCATGGGTTAGCCCACACAAGCCCTGCATGGGTTAGCCCACACCAAGCCCTGCATGGGTTAGCCCACACCAAGCCCTGCACGGATCATGTGACTATGAGAGATGTCAACATTTTGATCACAGTTTTACGAAAGTATAAGGCTTTTGTTTATAAAGCATTTGTAGGTATTTATGTAGATCTTTATAATGGGCTTGTGAGGTAAGCTTTTGTACTTGTACGAACTGAAAGGCTGCATACTCTGACAAGACAGATGTGGCATTATGTACTACATTACCCATAATGCTCTGTACATCATGTATAGACTCCTTACCAAGGCAGCAGACTCATGAGATATTCAGAGGAAAGTAAACAAAACTAGAAAAGGTAAATGTCCTAAAGAAAATGTGTGTACTTGTTTCAGCAGTCTAAAAGTCTGTTGTATGCTAGTGGTAGAAGATTAAAATGGTAAATGCTAATGTAGACGGCTAGACGCCCACTGACCGTATGTTACAAAACAGATTCATTAGATATAAACAACAAGCCAAGCTGTTTCCAGTTCCAGTCAGCTCTCGTGTGCAGCGCAAGCAGTCCATTGTTGAACAGTTTCCGAGCTTGGAGGCAGAGCAAGCAGTGCATTGTTGAAGAAGTTTCCGAGCATGAAACACTGGACAGGGAAAACAACAACACAAAAGGGACATTATGGAGCCTACGCCTCACAAGCTGAGCAGCTGCAGGGTTTAAACTCTGGTACTGTGTGGTGGTAGCCAGGGGAATGAGCCCAGGGGAATGAGCCCAGGGGAATGAACCAATTACTCTAATAGTACAGAAACGGTTGCAAAGTGGAAAGATGCAAAAGTTTGGTTCATTGTTGAGGTACTGCGTTAATCTAACCTGACACCTTACTCTCCAACTCACTTGACATTTGACTCTGTAGGTACCAGGCCTATGTTTTGTCAAGGGTGATTCTAGGTGTGGTTTCCAGTGTTTTATCAGTCACAACACACCAGTCAAACCACCCAGACCACTAATTATCTTTAGGCCTACTCAGCACTAAGACTCTTCCCCCTATCCAGCTGGAACAGCTTTCATCAGCCTGTTCATGGTGACAAACACTTTACCCACTACAGTACATGTAGTCCTGTATTACATTTTACATTTTAGTCATTTAGCAGACGCTCTTATCCAGAGCGACTTACAGTTAGTGAGTGCATACATTTTTCATACTGGCCCCCCATGGGAATCGAACCCACAACCCTGGCGTTGCAAACACCATGCTCTACCAACTGAGCTACACGGGGTAAGTTAATGGTCAACATTCACTTTCAGGAGTTATGTGGAGGGGAGTGAAATGAAAATGTGGCTTTAGAATTAAAAAAATGTGTATGTGAATTTTGCAGCTGACACAATTAAAATTGGTTTCTGTTTGTAGGGTAGCTGGTAGAAGCATGAACGTTATCAAGACCTTGACTTATTTTCTATTGCCTTTCAGTAGTTTCTGTACTGTATTCGCATGATAAATGTATTGTTTGTAAATGTTTCGATTAATATTTCAGTGGTTTTTCCTATTGGTTCTACAGAGAGATTAGTCTTCTCTTTTCAGCAGTAGGCATTTGCTTTCCAAACTGTACATTTTTCCCGTGATTGTATTTTGAAATCTGCAAAAGGCAAACCAACCGCCGCAACCAACCGTATAAATATAATCCATAGATGACAGTTCCCATTCAAGTCAGGACTGGCATTCATTTCTAGTGTACCCATGAGTTTAACAGTCAAATTGCCAGGGTAAGAGGTTACAAAACCCTTGTATGGATTATACGTCTATGGCCACAACGCAACAAGCTGTAGCCTATATTTGGCATGCATGCTGCCCAAACTGCGGCCTTCCCGACTGTAGTCATACCGGTAACTGCCCAAATAAAGGAAACACTTCAGTAAACAAGGGATACAGTTTATGTCATGGTGTGGAGTGCATTTTCCTGGCATGGTTTAGGTCCACTTGTAGAATCTATGCCAAGGCACATTGAAGCTGTTCTGGCAGCTCGTGGTGGCCCAACACCCTTTAAGACACTTTATGTTGGTGTTTCCTTCATTTAGACAGTTACCTGTATGTGCTTGTGATAAAAATTTATCCACAGTTATTTATTATAAACTATTGATCCTCTGTGGCTAAATTATGCTCTCTGGTGTATGTAATTTTAATTAAAACAAAATTGGCCTCTTGGGCCCCCTACAGGCTTGGGCCCAGCCCCTGACTCACACAATTGACCAGTCACATTGATTTACTATGTTTTTTTTTTACATTAATTGTATTAATCAGTTACCCAGTCAAGGCAGGGCCCCCCGTTACCCATGTGGGCCCCCTACCTCCTCTCCTCCCCCCATCTGATGATTAGCAGAGCAGCAGCAGGCTGTCTACACTTGAGAGCGGGCTCCTGAGTTCCTGTGGTTGGCGGTTGCAGTGAAAAAATATAAAATATATACTACATAGTATATAATATATACAGTATTGCCTTCATCTTACTCTACATACAGTGCATTCTGAAAGTATTCAGACCCCTTGACTTTTTCCACATTGTTACGTTACAGCCTTTTTCTAAAATTGATTAAATTGTATTTTTTCCTCATCAATCTACACACAATACCCCATAATGACAAAGCAAAAACAGGTTTTTAGAAATGTTTGCAAATTTATACAAAATAAAAAACTGAAATATTACATTTACATACGTTTTCAGACCCTTTACTCAGTACTTTGTTGAAGCACCTTTGGCAGCGATTACAGCCTCGAGTCTTCTTGGGTATGACGCTACAAGTTTGTCGTCAACAGTGAAGAGGCGACTCCGGGATGCTGACCTTCTAGGCAGAGTTGCAAAGAAAAAGCCATATCTCAGACTGCCCATCCTTTTTTTTTTTTTATTGGCCAGTCTGAGATATGGCTTTTTCTTTGCAACTCTGCCTAGAAGGTCAGCATCCCGGAGTCGCCTCTTCACTGTTGACGTTGAGACTGGTGTTTTGCGGGAAGTATTTAATGAAGCTGCCAGTTGAGGACCTGTGAGGTGCCTGTTTCTCAAACTAGACACTCTAATGAATTTGTCCTCTTGCTCAGTTGTGCACTGGGGCCTCCCACTCCTCTTTCTATTCTGGTTAGAGCCAGTTTGCGCTGTTCTGTGAAGGGAGTAGTACACAGCGTTGTACGAGATCTTCAGTTTCTTGGCAATTTCTCGCATGGAATAGCCTTCATTTCTCAGAACAAGAATAGACTGACGAGTTTCAGAAGAAAGTTATTTGTTTCTGGACATTTTGAGCCTGTAATCAAACCCACAATTGCTGATGCTCCAGATACTCAACTAGTCTCAAGAAGGCCAGTTTTATTGCTTCTTTAATCAGCACAACAGTTTTCAGCTGTGCTAACATAATTGCAAAAGGGTTTTCTAATGATCAATTAGCCTTTTAAAATGATAAACTTGGATTAGCAAACACAACGTGCCATTGGAACACAGGACTGATGATTGCTGAAAATGGGACAGGTGTCTTTTATACTGATAACAAGTTCAAACAGGTGCCATTAATACAGGTAACGAGTGGAGGACAGAGGAGCCTCTTAAAGAAGAAGTTACAGGTCTGTGAGAGCCAGAAATCTTGCTTGTTTGTACGTGACCAAATACTTATTTTCCACCATAATTTGCAAATAAATTCATTAAAAATCCTACAATGTGATTTTCTGGATTTTTTTTCCTCATTTTGTCTGTCATAGTTGACGTGTACCTATGATGAAAATTACAGGCCTCTCTCATCTTTTTAAGTGGGAGAACTTGCACAATTGGTGGCTGACTAAATACTTTTTTTCCCCACTGTAGATATTCCATAGAAAATCAGCCGTTTCCAGCTACAATAGCCATTTACAACATTAACAATGTCTACACTGTATTTCTGATCAATTTGATGTTATTTTAATGGACAAAAAAATTGCTTTTCTTTCGAAAACAAGGACATTTCTATGTGACCCCAAACTTTTGAACGGTAGTGTATGTGTGTGTGTGTGTGTGTGTATGTATATATATATATATATATATATATATATATATATACTTTTTTTTTTTTTGCTGCCTCTTGGGACCCCACGGTCCTGGGCCCAGGGGCTTCAGCCTCGGTAAGCCCCTGCATTAATCCGGCCGGGGGGAGGTGCAGAGTGTGTGAGGTAATACAGTAGGGGAAATGTGAGTGCTTCTCAAATGTAATGTTTAATGCGTTCTCCACACTCTCGTCCTCACAAGAACGGACTCAAGAGAACATCCTCTGAGAATGTACTCGGAGCATGAGAGTGTGGAGGATGGTAGTATGCATATTGAGAAACACCCACAGTTAAACTTCACATTGGCAGCATGATTATTATTGTAAATCCTCTCATTTACTATCTCCTTCTGTACAATTCCATGAACATGCTTCTGTGTTATGTTTCTGTCTGTAGGTGTGGACAAGTATACCCAGTTCAACTGTGAGGCCCACAACCAGAAAGGTGTCACTACTTCCAGGGAAGCTAACATCAATATTAAAGGTAATTTGGACTCCAAAGTCTCCTCCCACACTTTGAACTGTTTGAATAAGATCAGCATAAAAGAGTCTTACTCTGAGACTCTGTGAATATGGCCGTTGATATTTTTGAGAGCACATTCAGAGTCGGCAAGCTGTCCGAGCAATTATAATACCCTATACCAGAATGAGACAGCTTCTTCCTATACCAGAATTAGGCCGCTTTTCATGATGATTGTGTTTTGGTATGTTTGCAGTGCTTCCAGCTCCTGTCACTGAGGTCACAGTGATACAATGTGAATCTAACAAACTAGTTCTGAGATGGACCCCTGGACACGATGGATTCTCCCCACTCACTACCTGCCAGATCAGGGTAAGCAAAGCTCACACTCACCACACATGTCTCCCGAGTGGCGCAGTGGTCTAAGGCACTGCATTGCAGTGCTAGCTGTGCCACTAGAGATCCTGGTTCGAATCCAGGCTCTGTCGTAGCCGGCCGCGACCGGGAGACTCATGGGGCGGCGCACAATTGGCCCAGCGTCGTCCAGGGTAGGGGAGGGAATGGCCGGCAGGGATGTAGCTTAGTTGGTATAGCATGGCGTTTGCAACGCCAGGGTTGTGGGTTCGATTCCCATGGGGGGCCAGTATGAAAAATGTATGCACTCACTAACTGTAAGTCGCTCTGGATAAGAGTGTCTGCTAAATGACTAAAATGTAAATGTAAAATGTACCTGCCAGATCAGGGTAAGCAAAGCTCACACTCACCACACTACCTGCCAGATCACGGTAAGCAAAGCTCCACACTCCCCACTCACTCACTACCTGCCAGATCAGGGTAAGCAAAGCTCCACACTCCCCACTCACTCACTACCTGCCAGATCAGGGTAAGCAAAGCTCCACACTAGATAGTGTATGATGACAGAGAGACAGCACCAGCCTAATACATGTATAGGGCTGACAGCATGAGTCAGTTCGGAATACAAACACATTTTTATCTGTTTGTTTGAATCCCTGCCTAAGGGTTGTTTAGTGTGGTTCCTAAACAACTTTGTGATATTTTTGCACAAATGTATTTTTGTAAGAAAATTATATTCTAAATGTCTGTGTACAGTAGACTACTGTTGTGATGAACATATAACCTGTATCCTTCCCTGTGCTCTCTCCAAGGTGAAAGAGGTGAGCCGGAGGAGAGGAGAGGTCAGGCTGGCTAGGATCATCAACACTATAGCTCCTCCTTTCCAGAGTGATGTCCCAGGGTTACAGGCCATGACCTGGTACAACGTTAGTGTCTCCTGTAGCAACGAGCTCGGCCAATCACCAGTCAGTACCTGGGTCCAGAGCAGCACTACAGAAGGAGGTGGGTAACATACACTCTGCACTATTGGCCTGGTAAAGAAAGTAGTGCACTATGCAGGGAATAGGACCCTGGTAAAGAAAGTAGTGCACTATGCAGGGAATAGGACCCTGGTAAAGAAAGTAGTGCGCTATGCTGGGAATAGGACCCTGGTAAAGAAAGTAGTGCGCTATGCTGGGAATAGGACCCTGGTAAAGAAAGTAGTGCACTATGCAGGGAATAGGACCCTGGTAAAGAAAGTAGTGCACTGTGCAGGGAATAGGACCCTGGTAAAGAAAGTAGTGCACTGTGCAGGGAATAGGACCCTGGTAAAGAAAGTAGTGCACTATGCAGGGATTAGGGTACCATTTGGGACACTGCCCCATTGTCTCTGAGCAGGTGCTAGATATCAATGTTCAATAAAAGGTGAAAAGAGACTCTGTACACTGCATTCTATGCTCCCATGTGAATAATAGGTGACAACGTTTCAACCACTCAGGTATTCGTTATGTCTCCTCTATACTGCAACCAGGCCATGGCTCAGTTGGGAGAGTTCTGTAGTGTTTTCATGCATAGAGAGTGCATAGGTCGCATGAGCATCCTGTCCACATCATTGCCTTGTCAAGTCTGCATATGTCATACACATTGGCCTGTATGGGGTTCTGCATAACTTCAGTTAACCTACTAAACGGTATCTCCTGTGTTAGGTCCTGCCTCTGCATAAGATGCAGTGTGTTGTTATTGTAGCCTGGATCCAAATTGAAATGTTACATTTCACTATTGTTTCACTTCACGAAAGAGAGCAATTCAGTTTGGATCCGGGATAGTTTTCTTGTCCCCTCATCTCAATAAGTATTAAGAAAGCAGTTTTAATGTCATTGATCAGAAATTGTTAAAGTACATATTATATTTTGCATGACGGGGTTCCTAGTGAAACCTGCGTCACATCCAGAATATGTCTGATATTATCTTTGCATATCTTCCGGAGCGGCCACATAGGAAGCAGAATCAGGAGCAGTCATAGTGTACTGGGTGGGGCCGCTTCCAACTTCCTCCCTAAACTAACGCCATTGGGGATATCTTAGCCAACAGCTCTGACAGAAATCATTCCATGCTGTGGGAAACATCAGAAGGGGTTGACCCGAATGTGGCCTCACCTCAGTTGTTTTCTTTGTTGACTAGACATATTGAAAATGATTTATTTGTTTCATTACCTCATATTCATTAATTGTGATGGAACTGTGGACCCGTGAAGAGCCGTGCACATGAATCAACATTTCAGTGTTCACATCGATGTGACTGTGCCAGAGTTGGCAAAAGTAAACTGTTTTATGTGAGTTCTAGTTGGGTATTATCACAGATGCCAAGATTGAAGATCATATTTGAGTGTGTGTGACCCTCTCTGCCCCTCTCTTTCCCTTTCCAGTACCGTCAGTCTTCCCCCATAACGTGACTGTTCAGCTCAACGAATCAATGCTGGTGATCCGATGGAATGCCCCGCCTCCAGACAGGGTCAACGGAATCCTCATGGGGTATGATGTCATCGTCACGTATGGGACGCGGGTCAACAATGTGAGTCTCCTCCTGGAACTTTGAAGACAGCGATGCTATCACCATAGAAATATAGACGTTTCCATTCTATTTCTATGGCGCTCACTGCCTCACTGCCTGGGGATCAAACAAGTATTCTGTTCTATTCTATTAGGTCATCCATGCCTCTGTTACAAACCTTCTGTAAAAGGTTTTGTTGCACTCTCAATATTAACAATGTCAGTTTCATACTGAGATTTCAGTTCCCAGATTCGAAAACTAAGATTTTATTTTATTTATTTATTTATTTCACCTTTATTTAACCAGGTAAGCCAGTTGAGAACAAGTTCTCATTTACAACTGCGACCTGGCCAAGATAAAGCAAAGCAGTGCGATAAAAACAACAACAGAGAGTTACATATGGGGTAAAACAAAACATAAAGTCAAAAATACAACAGAAAATATATATATAGTGTGTGCAAATGTAGCAAGTTATGGAGGTAAGGCAATAAATAGGCTATAGTGCAAAATAATTACAATTCGTATTAACACTGGAATGATAGATGTGCAAGAGATGATGTGCAAAGATGGTCATATGATTTACAGTTAGCCAGTGTCTTCATCAGGTGGCGTGTGAGATGTGGGGGATTATTGGTCATGCCTCTGACCTCATTCCTTTCTACCAAAACTTCCCTAGTCTGTGTTCTGAACTAAAGTGTTCCACTCCACCCTAGAGTCAACAGTAACATCTGCTCTGCTCTACTCTGCTCTACTCTACTCTTCACTACTCTGCTCTACTCTTCCCTACTCTACTCTGCTCTACTCTTCCCTACTCTGCTCTACTCTACCTCTTCCCTACTCTGCTCTACTCTACTCTTCCCTACTCTGCTCTACTCTTCCCTACTCTACTCTTCCCTACTCTACTCTGCTCTACTCTTCCCTACTCTGCTCTACTCTACTCTTCCCTACTCTGCTCTACTCTACTCTTCCCTACTCTACTCTGCTCTACACTTCCCTACTCTGCTCTACTCTACTCTTCCCTACTCTGCTCTACTCTACTCTTCCCTACTCTACTCTTCCCTACTCTACTCTTCCCTACTCTACTCTACTCTTCCCTACTCTGCTCTACTCTACTCTTCCCTGCTCTACTCTACTTTTCCATACTCTGCTCTACTCTACTCTTTCCTACTCTGCTCTACTCTTCCCTACTCTGCTCTACTCTTCCCTACTCTTTTCTACTCTTCCCTACTCTGCTCTACTCTACTCTTCCCTATTCTGCTCTACACTTCCCTACTCTGCTCTTCATTTCCCTACTCTGCTCTACTCTTTTCTACTCTTCCCTACTCTGCTCTACTCTACTCTTCCCTATTCTGCTCTACACTTCCCTACTCTACTCTGCTCTACTCTGCTCTGCTCTGCTCTACTCTTCTCTACTCTGCTCTACTCTACTCTTCCCTACTCTGCTCTACCCTTCCCTACTCTGCTCTACTCTTCCCTACTCTGCTCTACTCTACTCTTCCCTACTCTACTCTACTATTTTCTACTCTACTCTTCCCTACTCTGCTCTACTCTACTCTTCCCTGCTCTACTCTACTTTTCCCTACTCTGCTCTGCTCTACTCTACTCTTTCCTACTCTGCTCTACTCTTCCCTACTCTGCTCTACTCTTCCCTACTCTGCTCTACTCTTCCCTACTCTGCTCTACTCTACTCTTCCCTACTCTACTCTACTCTTCCCTACTCTGCTCTACTCTACTCTTTCCTACTCTGCTCTACTCTTCCCTACTCTGTTCTACTCTTCCCTACTCTACTCTGCTCTACTCTTCCCTACTCTACTCTGCTCTACTCTTCCCTACTCTGCTCTACTCTTCCCTACTCTGCTCTACTCTACTCTTCCCTACTCTACTCTACTCTTCCCTACTCTGCTCTACTCTACTCTTTCCTACTCTGCTCTACTCTTCCCTACTCTGTTCTACTCTTCCCTACTCTACTCTGCTCTACTCTTCCCTACTCTACTCTGCTCTACTCTTCCCTACTCTGCTCTACTCTTTTCTACTTTTCCCTACTCTGCTCTACTCTACTCTTCCCTATTCTGCTCTACACTTCCCTACTCTGCTCTTCCCTACTCTGCTCTACTCTGCTCTGCTCTGCTCTGCTCTACTCTTCTCTACTCTACTCTGCTCTACTCTTACCTACTCTGCTCTACTCTACTCTACCCTACTCTGCTCTACCCTTCCCTACTCTGCTCTACTCTTCCCTACTCTGATCTACTCTACTCTTCCCTACTCTACTCTACTATTTTCTACTCTACTCTTCCCTACGCTGCTCTACTCTACTCTTCCCTGCTCTACTCTACTTTTCCCTACTCTGCTCTACTCTGCTCTACTCTTCCCTACTCTGCTCTACTCTTCCCTACTCTGCTCTACTCTTCCCTACTCTGCTCTACTCTACTCTGCTCTACTCTTCTCTTCCCTACTCTGCTCTACTCTATTCTACTCTTCTCTACTCTGCTCTACTCTACTCTTCCCTACTCTTCCCTACTCTGCTCTGCTCTACTCTATTCTACTCTTCTCTACTCTGCTCTACTCTACTCTTCCCTACTCTGCTCTACTCCTCCCTACTCTGCTCTACTCTACTCTTCCCAACTCTACTCTACTCTTCCCTACTCTACGCTATCAACAAGATACATTCTAATTGCTTAGATGCAATGTATGTTCTTGGTCAGAGATATACAGTACAATGTGTTTCTGACTCTGACCAGTCACGCTGTCAGCATGTTAGCTAGTTTAGTTTTAGTTTCCAAAATAAAAGTCCTGGTATGAAACGTTGTCATAGAGAAGATGGTACATCATGTTTCTGTGTGTCCTCCGGGCCTCCAGTCCCACTGTCAGCACTTTGGCTAGTGAGAGAGGAACCCCAGATGTTGCCATGCAGCAGTGTTGTGCAACCAAGGGCTTTATCCACTGTCACATGTTCCCCAACAATCCCCCTCTCAGCTGATCACCATGTCTGCTCCCCTAATGGCAACCTACATGTATTCCCTATTTAGGTCACTACTTTTGGCCAGAGCCCAGACCCTATGTGCCCTGGTAATGTGTAGTGCACTACATAGGGAATAAGGTATGATTTGGGACACAGGCCATGCTGCTCACCAGTGTTTTAAAATATTTAAGTCAAAATAGTTTAAAGTATTACTTAAGTAGTTTTTTGGGGCATCTGTACTTTACTATTAATATTTTTTATAACATAGACTCTTACTTCACTACTTCATAAAGAAAATAATGTACTTTTTACTCCATACATTTTCCCTGACACCCAAAAGTATTAATTACATTTTGAATGCTTTAGCAGGACAGGAAAATTGTCCAATTCACACACTTATCAAGAGAACATGCCTAGTCATCCCTACTGCCTCTGATCTTACGGACTCACTAAACACAGGCTTTGTTTGTAAATGATGTCTGAGTGTTGGAGTGTGCCCCTGGCTATCCGTAACACCATCTAAAAATGGCCTATGTATGAAAGACAATCCAGGTCTCCATTTGTTAGTGGGTGATGTTCAGTACGAGGAAAACCTTTTGAAACATTTCCAGTAAGAGCACAGATTGTAGTTTTACATTGACAGATGTTTTCCTATAGATAGATATATATATACAGTTGAAGTTGGAAGTTTACATACACTTTGGTTGGAGTCATTAAAACTCGTTTTTCAACCACTTCACAAATTTCTTGTTAACAAACTATAGTTTTGGCAAGTCAGTTAAGACATCTACTTTGTGCATGACCCAAGTAATTTTTCCAACAATTGTTTACAGACAGATTATTTCACTTATAATTCACTGTATCACAGTTCCAGTGGGTCAGAAGTTTATATATATATATATATATACTGTATATATTAGTGTTTCTTAATTTTGGTCCTGGGGACCCAAAGGGGTAAACATTGTAGTTTTTGCCCTAGCGCTACACATCTGATTCCACTAATCAAAGGTTTGATGAGGAGTTAATTAGTGGAATGAGTTAATTCATGGAATAGGTGTGTTTGAGAAACCCTGATCTAAACTGCTGAATAGAACCCTGATCTAAACTGCTGAATAGAACCCTGATCTAAACTGCTGAATAGAACCCTGATCTAAACTGCTGAATAGAACCCTGATCTAAACTGCTGAATAGAACCCTGATCTAAACTGCTGAATAGAACCCTGATCTATGATTGTAATCTGCTGAATACAACCATGCTGTTGTGTTCCTCAGATCCGCAGCTCCTCCAACACTGGCGCGGTGGCCCTACAGGAGTTCAACACTACATACGTTGTTCAGGTAGCTGCCGTTACTCAGGCAGGGCGTGGCATGCTCAGTCCACCGGTTAGGATCTTCGTACCAGAGAACAGTGAGTAGACCACACTACATAAGGAGTTCATAACCCATACATATGCATTCATAAGCAGTACATAAGCAGTACACTGTCTTGCTGTTGTTGCAAGACAATAACAAATAGTAAAATGGGCAATACAAGAGTTCAATACGATAAAGGAGTACAAGCAAGGCAGGACTAGGGCAAAGATGACTTGGTTATGAAGAGGAACCTTCGGATGCATGTCTGGAATTGTCACGACTTCTGCCGAGGCTGCCTCCCCTCCTTGTTCGGGCAGGTTTCGGTGTTCGGCGTCACCGGCCTACTAGCTACTGCCGATCCATTTATCATCACTCAATTTGTCTTGTCTTCAATCACACACACCTGGTCCTTATCCCTCATTAGTCATTGTATAAGTGTTCCCTCTGCTTCCTTTTCTGTGTGGGTGATTGTTTATTGTGGAGGTTAGTGAAGCTCGGTGGAGCTCGTGTATTTTGTATCGACGGGAGAGTTTCCCGTGTGCCTTGTATTTTCCAGTGTGCCTGTTTTGTGCCCTGGAGTGTGTTTGACGCATTTCTGCGTAAACCTGTATTTTTGTGGATTAAAGCCTGTTATTCTGTGATTTACCCTCCTGCGCCTGACTCCTTCAACACCACCTCATCACATAATCACCCACCCGCTATGGAGTCAGCGGGAGAGACGCACATGCCTGGAGTCATGGAACGGGTCCAGGAGCATTCAACTATACTAGCCAGCTTGGGTGAAGCGATGAATTGGGTTCTTCAGGTCGTCCAACGCCTGGAGAGGAGAGAGCCCGATCTGTCGAGACCAGCTGGCCAACCAGATCCCGCCACCTACACCCCAGCACCCGGAGGGATCCAGATATCCCGACCACGGGAGTTCGACGGGACAGCGGCGCTGTGCCAAGGATTCCTTCTCCAACTGGAGCTCTACATCCGGCCGGTCCCGGAGCGGGAGAGGGTGTCCGCCCTCGTCTCCTGCCTCTCGGGGAAAGCCCTGGAGTTGGCCAACGCGGTGTGGAACGAAGGAGGAGCCGCGTTGGAGAACTACGGGAAGTTCGCTCGCCTCTTCCGGGCGGTCTTCGATCACCCGCCCGAGGGTCGAGAGGCGGTCGAGAGGCGGGCGAGCGGCGGGCGAGCGGCTGGTCCACCTGAGGCAGGGGACAAGGACTGCGCAGGACTTCGAATTGGAGTTTCGAACTCTAGCAGCTGGGTCCGGGTGGAACGAGCGGGCCCTGATCGACCATTTCCGGTGCCATCTGCGAGAGGACGTCCGACGGGAGCTAGCCTGCCGTGACACCATGTTGTCCTTCTCAAAACTGGTGGACATGGCCATTCGTTTGGACAACCTGCTGGCAACCAGAGGACGTCCTGGAGGAGGTCTGCCCGTTTCCATCCCGGCCGACTCGGATCAAGAACCACATTTCACCACATGTTTTCGTCAACGCTCTTCTGGGTTTGGAGGCGGCAGGCAGGGCACTCTCGCATCACCCCAGGTATCGAACACCCACAATCTTTCAGAGCCCTCTGCTGCACACTGTAAAATACACATCTCCTTTCCTGAGCACATGGTAGTTCCCCAGTGTAAGGCGCTAGTCGATTCAGGCGCAGCTGGGAACTTTATGGACAGGGCATTCGCACACCGTATAGGCATTCCATTGATTCCCCTATCCATTCCACGCCCCATCAGAGCACTTGATAGTCAACCATTAGGGTCCGGGTTGGTTAAGGAAGTTACTGCACCAGTCACCATGATTACCCAGGAGACTCATTGTGAGCAGGTAACTTTTTCCATTATTGAGTCTCCTGCTTTCCCTGTGGTATTAGGTATCCCTTGGCTAGCACTCCACAACCCCACCTTCTCATGGTGAGGGTTGTGGAGTGTTCTCACGGGGTGGTCGCGAGAGTGTCAGGGTAGGTGTCTAGGTGTTTCCGTTGGTGCAACCACGGTGGAAAGTCCAGACAGTACCTCCACCGTGCGCATTCCCCCTGAATACCTCGATCTGGTGCTAGCGTTCTCTAAAACGCAGGCGACTAAGTTACCACCTCATCGGGCGGGGGATTGCTCGATAAACCTCCGGGTAGACGCTGTACCTCCCAGGAGTCATATATACCCCTTGTCACAGGCTGAACGGTGGCTATGGAGACATATGTCACAGAGTCCCTGCTCCAGGGGTATATACGTCCCTCCACTTCACCCGGCTCCTCGAGTTTCTTCTTTGTGAAGAAGAAGGATGGAGGTCTGCGCCCATGCATTGATTATCGACCACTGAACAGGGAGACGATAAGATGTAGTTATCCTCTCCCCCTCATTCCTTCAGTGATTGAATCAATGCATGGGGCGCGATTCTTCTCCAAATTAGATCTCAGGAGTGCGTACAACCATCTCTATCCGAGAAGGAGATGAGTGGAAGACAGCATTCAGCACAACCACAGGGCATTATGAATACCTGGTGATGCCCTATGGTTTGATGAATGCTCCCTCAGTTTTTGAGTCCTTTGTGAACGAGGTGTTTTGGGACATGCTTGGTCGCGATGTAGTGGTCTACATCGATGACATCCTGGTGTATTCCGCTACGCGCGCCGAGTGTCCCTGGTTCGCAAGGTGCTGGCCCGACTGTTGGAAAATGACCTTTATGCTAAGGCAGAGAAGTGCATGTTTTTCCAGCAGTCCGTCTCCTTTCTTGGATACCGCATTTCCACCTCAGGTGTGGAGATGGAGGGAGATCGCATTTCAGCCGTGCGTAATTGGCCGACTCCAACCACGGTAAAGGAGGTGCAGCGCTTCCTTGGCTTTGCCAACTACTATCGGAGGTTTATCCGGGGCTTTGGCGAGGTCACAGCTCCCATTACCTCCCTGTTGAAGGGTGGGCCATCCCAGCTCCGCTGGTCTGCTGAGGCTGACCTGGCCTTCAGCAAACTGTGGGGTCTGTTCACCTCAGCCCCAGTACTGGCCCACCCCGATTCATCACTACCGTTCGTAGTGGAGGTGGATGCTCCGAGATTGGGATAGGAGCTGTCCTGTCTCAACGCTCGGGTACGCCACCCAAGCTCCGCCCCTGTGCGTTCTTCTCGAAGAAGCTTAGCCCGGCGGAGCAGAACTACGGCGTTGGTGATCGGGAGCTGTTGGCTGTTGTCCGAGCCCTGACCGTGTGGAGGAATTGGCTCGAGAGCCCTGACCAGGTGGGCCCTATTCTTCACCCGGTTTGATTTCACACTATCATACATCCCGGGTACGAAGAACGTGAAGGAGGACACACTGTCCCGGCTGTATGACACAGAGGAGAGGCCCAGCGACAACACCCCCATACTGCCGGCCTCCTGCATTGTGGCGCCGGTAGTATGGGCGATGGACGCGGATATAGAGCAGGCATTACACACGGATCCCTCTCCACCTCAGTGTCCAGATGGTCTACAGTACGTGCTTGCTCTTATCCGTGATCGTCTGATCTACTGGGCACACACGTCACCCTCCTCTGGTCACCCAGGTATCGTCCGTACAGTGCGCTACCAGACCGGAAAATACTGGTGGCCTACCTTGGCTAAGGACGTGAGGGTGTATGTCTCCTCCTGCTCAGTGTGCGCCCAGAGTAAGGCACCTAGGCACCTCCCAGCTGGTAAGTTACAACCTTTACCAGTTCCTCATCGACCATGGTCTCACCTAAATGTTGATTTCCTAACTGATCTTCCCCTCTCCCAAGGTAACACCACCATCCTGGTCGTTGTGGACCGCTTTTCTAAAGCCTTCCGCCTCCTTCCTCTGCCCGGTCTCCCCACGGCTCTGCAAACTGCGGAGGCCCTGTTTACTCACGTCTTCCGGCACTACGGGGTACCAGAGGATATAGTGTCTGACCGAGGTCCCCAGTTCACGTCCAAGGTCTGGAAGGCGTTCATGGAATGTCTGGGGGTCTCGGTCAGCCTGACCTCTGGGTTCCACCCGAGAGTAATGGGCAGGTGGAACGGGTAAATCAGGATGTGGGTAGGTTCCTGCGGTCCTACTGCCAGGACCGGCCGGGGGAGTGGTCGGTGTTCTTGCCATGGGCAGAATATGCCCAGAACTCTCTCCACCACTCCTCCACTAACCTAACGCCTTTCCAGTGTGTTCTAGGTTACCAACCGGTTCTGGCACCGTGGCACCAGAGCCAGACCGAGGTTCCTGCGGTGGATGACTGGTTTCGGCGCACGGAGGAGACGTGGGATGCTGCCCACGTTCACCAGAAGGCCAACGCTGACCGCCACCGCAGTGAGGTCCCCGTCTTTGTACCGGGGGATCAGGTCTGGCTCTCGACCCGGAATCTGCCCATCCGCCTGCCCTGCCGGAAGCTGAGCCCATGGTTTGTGGGGCCGTTCAAAGTCTTGAGGAGAGTCAATGAGGTTACCTATAGGTTATTACTCCCTCCTGATTACCGTATTAACCCCTCGTTTCATGTGTCTCTCCTCATGCTGGTGGTAGCTGGTCCGCTCCAGGAGTCTGAGGTGCGGGAGGTTCCTCCACCTCCTCTGGACATCGAGGGGGCCCCGGCGTACTCTGTCCTTTCCATCCTGGATTCGAGGCGTCGGGTGGGGGGGCCTTCAGTACCTCGTGGAGTGGGAAGGGTACGGTCCGGAGGAACGGTGCTGGGTCCCGGTGAGGGATATCCTCGATCCCTCCATGTTACGGGATTCCCACCGTCGCCATCCGGCTCACCCTGCTCTGCGTCCTCCTGGCTGTCCCCGAGGCCGGGGTCGGTCTGATCTACTGGGCACACACGTCACCCTCCTCTGGTCACCCAGGTATCGTCCGTACAGTGTGCTACCAGACCGGAAAATACTGGTGGCCTACCTTGGCTAAGGACGTGAGGGTGTATGTCTCCTCCTGCTCAGTGTGCGCCCAGAGTAAGGCACCTAGGCACCTCCCAGCTGGTAAGTTACAACCTTTACCAGTTCCTCATCGACCATGGTCTCACCTAAATGTTGATTTCCTAACTGATCTTCCCCTCTCCCAAGGTAACACCACCATCCTGGTCGTTGTGGACCGCTTTTCTAAAGCCTTCCGCCTCCTTCCTCTGCCCGGTCTCCCCACGGCTCTGCAAACTGCGGAGGCCCTGTTTACTCACGTCTTCCGGCACTACGGGGTACCAGAGGATATAGTGTCTGACCGAGGTCCCCAGTTCACGTCCAAGGTCTGGAAGGCGTTCATGGAATGTCTGGGGGTCTCGGTCAGCCTGACCTCTGGGTTCCACCCGAGAGTAATGGGCAGGTGGAACGGGTAAATCAGGATGTGGGTAGGTTCCTGCGGTCCTACTGCCAGGACCGGCCGGGGGAGTGGTCGGTGTTCTTGCCATGGGCAGAATATGCCCAGAACTCTCTCCACCACTCCTCCACTAACCTAACGCCTTTCCAGTGTGTTCTAGGTTACCAACCGGTTCTGGCACCGTGGCACCAGAGCCAGACCGAGGTTCCTGCGGTGGATGACTGGTTTCGGCGCACGGAGGAGACGTGGGATGCTGCCCACGTTCACCAGAAGGCCAACGCTGACCGCCACCGCAGTGAGGTCCCCGTCTTTGTACCGGGGGATCAGGTCTGGCTCTCGACCCGGAATCTGCCCATCCGCCTGCCCTGCCGGAAGCTGAGCCCATGGTTTGTGGGGCCGTTCAAAGTCTTGAGGAGAGTCAATGAGGTTACCTATAGGTTATTACTCCCTCCTGATTACCGTATTAACCCCTCGTTTCATGTGTCTCTCCTCATGCTGGTGGTAGCTGGTCCGCTCCAGGAGTCTGAGGTGCGGGAGGTTCCTCCACCTCCTCTGGACATCGAGGGGGCCCCGGCGTACTCTGTCCTTTCCATCCTGGATTCGAGGCGTCGGGTGGGGGGGCCTTCAGTACCTCGTGGAGTGGGAAGGGTACGGTCCGGAGGAACGGTGCTGGGTCCCGGTGAGGGATATCCTCGATCCCTCCATGTTACGGGATTCCCACCGTCGCCATCCGGCTCACCCTGCTCTGCGTCCTCCTGGCTGTCCTCGAGGCCGGGGTCGGTGCGCTGCTGGAGCCGCGCGTCAAAGGTGGGGGTGGTACTGTCACGACTTCCACCAAGGCTGCCTCCCCTCCTTGTTCGGGCAGGTTTCGGCGTTCGGCGTCACCGGCTTACTAGCTACTGCCGATCCATTTATCATCACGCCATTTGTCTTGTCTTCAATCACACACACCTGTTCCTTATCCCTCATTAGTCATTGTATAAGTGTTCCCTCTGCTTCCTTTTCTGTGTGGGTGATTGTTTATTGTGGAGGTTAGTGAAGCTCGGTGGAGCTCGTGTATTTTGTATCGACGGGAGAGTTTCCCGTGTGCCTTGTATTTTCCAGTGCGCCTGTTTTGTGCCCTGGAGTGTGTTTGACGCATTTCTGCGTAAACCTGTATTTTTGCGGATTAAAGCCTGTTATTCTGTGATTGACCCTCCTGCACCTGACTCCTTCAACACCACCTCATCACAGGAATGTCCTCAGCTTAAAAGGTCTGTTGATTTTAAATCACTGCTACAGCTCCTCAACTGGGACACTTAAGACCCAGATTGTAATGATGGGGAACACTTCAGAGTACAGACTGGGAGAATGAGGAGGACGTTTCTCTATCTCATCAACATTCTATTCTACGTTGTACAAGGCTGTGTGTTCTGTTCTATAAATCAACCATACTTTGATTTGATTGATTGCCTGTTGTGTTCCAGGTTTGCCCCTGTCTCCCTCCTCCATTCCAAACACCAAAGGATCAGACTCTGTGTACATCGTACTAGGGGTGGTGTGTGGCTTCTGTATCCTGCTGCTAGTGTTCTGGGCTGCTTTCTACATGAGAGGCAGGATACTAGACACATGCTTTGGGTACGTTTCCATGCTTCTTCACATATTAAAGTTGTAATTGTATCATGGTGTAGAAGGTGTACACTGATGTACTATAGTATAGCTCAGCTCAGTGTTCCTTCCTCTGTAACTTACCGGATTGTTTATTTAGCTCCTAGTGAAGCAAAGGGCCTCACCAGTGCATGTCCAGCCAGTGAATTCTGTTTTGGCAGTTTTCTTCACCTGATTTGCAGCAGGTATAGAAGTTACTATTTATTATGTATTTGATCCCTGGAGTTGGTGAGGTGAAACGGTGTATTGGTCACTCTGCTTTTCTCAGTGGAAGTGGTTGTAGGCAGGGATAAAGTTACTCAGTACATTTGGATGCCTTGTTAATAAAGCAGCCTGGTTCCCTCTTAATTACCAACAACACCTGCAACTGAGGTAAAGGTTGCAAAGATTGTACTGCCTTGGTCATGTTCATTAGGCACCAAATGGAAGAAAACAGACTCAAACAGCTGGACTAACTCAGCAGTGAGATCTGGGTGGTGTTAGTTAGGGCAGACTAAGGAAAACATTTTCAAATGTTTTGCAACAGAAAATGAAAATGGGCCTTTCTCATTGAACAAACCCAGATAGTCCCTCCCTGTGTCAGTCTATTTTCTTCCATTTGGTTCCTAATGAACACAACCATCCCTGGTCTTACTGCTGATGACAGAGGTAGTCCAGCTGTGCTGGAAAGAAACACCAAAACAACACTCTCCACGCCTCTACTCGCCACTCCAATACTCTCCTCTACTCTCCACTCCACTACTCTCCTCTACTCACCACTCCTCGACTCTACTCTCTACTCCACCCCTATCCTCTCCCCTCTTGTCCACTCCACCCCTCTCCTCCTCTCCTCCTCTCCTCCTCTCCTCCCCTCTCCCCTCTTGTCCACTCCACCCCTCTCCTCTCCTCCTCTCCTCCCCTCTCCCCTCTTGTTCACTCCACCCATCTCCTCTCCTCCCCCTCCCCCCTCTGTCCACTCCACCCCTCTCCTCTCCTCCTCCCTCTCCTCTCCTCCCCTCTCTCCCCTCTTGTCCACTCCACCCCTCTCCTCTCCTCCTCTCCTCCCCTCTCCCCTCTTGTTCACTCCACCCATCTCCTCTCCTCCCCTCTCCCCTCTTGTCCACTCCACCCCTCTCCTCTCCCCTCTTGTTTCACTCCACCCCTCTCCTCTCCTCCCCTCTCCCCTCTTGTCCACTCCACCCCTCTCCTCTCCCCTTTTGTTCACTCCACCCCTCCCCTCCCCTCTTTTCCACTCCTCTCCACTCCACTCCCTCCTCCCCTCTACTCTCCCTTCTTGTCCACTCCACTCCAACCCTCCCCTCTCACCACTCCTCTCCACTACACTCCTCCCCTCCTCAACACCAAAACAACCCTCTCCACTCCACTCCCCTCCTCAACACCAAAACAACCCACTCCACTCCTCTCCTCAACACCAAAACAACCCACTCCACAACACCAAAATAACCCACTCCACTTCACTCCTCAACACCAAAATAACCCACTCCTCTCCACTCCACTCCACTCCCCTCCTCAACACCAAAACAACTCACTCCTCTCCACTCCACCAAAACAACCCACTCCTCTCCACTCCACTTCACTCCTCTCCTCAACACTAAAACAACCCACTCCTCTCCACTCCATTTCTCTCCCCTCCTCTCCGCTCCACCAAAATAACCCTCTCCACTCCAGTCCTCTCCTCAACACCAAAACAACCCACTCCAGTCCTCTCCTCAACACCAAAACAACCCTCTCCACTCCACCAAAACAACCCTCTCCACTCCTCTCCTCCTCTCCACTCCACCAAAATAACCCTCTCCACTCCTCTCCTCAACACCAAAATAACCATCTCCACTCCTCAACACCAAAATAACCCACTCCTCTCCTCAACACCAAAACAACCCAATCTCCTCTCATTTCTGCTGTCTCTGTTCTGGAATGTATGAAGTTAAAGAGGTGACTTAGTGTTGCCATTCAGGATATACAGATACAAATCTGTCACGCGCCAAAACTAGCAAACAACCTCTCATCTCTCAGAGGCAGGAAAACATCAGGTCATAGAGCTAGCTTCCTGCTTCCAGATGAATTCTCAATCTAACCTCAACCATTACAACGGAGGCAAACCCTTGTTGATGTTAGTGAGTTAGTAACTCACTCTGGCTGCATTCCAAATGGCACCCTATTCCCTATATAGTGCACTACTTTTGACCAGGGAAATTCTGGACGCACGAAGTAAGAGAGTGATGGGTTTTGAGAAGGAGGCAAGGAGAGAGGAAGCTCCCTTAATCGTTTTATTCTGCTCCATGGTAGTAACTTGTGTCTCTCTGGTGCCCCCTGCAGTCAGATGTTTGGAAGTGCAGAGAAGCTTCCACCCATCGTCCAGTACAGGCCCCAGAGGTCCTACGACCGATCAACCATTGAAATCACACGTACGTTAATAAAAGTTATACTCTAATCTATACTTTATGTTCCTATTAACATAAATTGGATAATTGTTTTATATCTATATCCACAGCCCAATAATAACAATATGAGCTCTATTTTCCCGTCTTGGTCTCCCTCTGTAGTTGGTAACCTGGGTGTGAGTGATGAGCTCCAAGCCAAACTACAGGACTTCATGATTATGAGAAACCTGCTTTCCATCGGGAAGGTTCTGGGACAGGGTGAGGATGACATTCATTTTATTATTTATTGCACAAAATGATTAGCCTCTTTATATTATAAAGTAGGTGGAATAAAACATTTTCTCAATCAAATGTAATTTCTTTGTTGCTACTTGTAATTTATTTCTGACTGTTCTCTCTATAGTAACCCATTGTTTATTGACCAGGTGAATTTGGCTCTGTGGTGGAGGGACGTCTGAAACAACCGGACGGAGCGTCTGAGAAAGTGGCTGTGAAGACCATGAAACGTGTTTCTTCAACCACTGTCAGTTTACTTTAATTGGGCTTATCTAACGATGCCCATTCATTTTATGTCAGATTCAGAGAGATGAATTCCACAGCCTGGTCCCAGATCTGTTGGGCCGTATAACCAGCCCCAATGGCGTTCATGCCATTTTTGGCATACCAATGACCACAGGAATTGGCAAGACAGCGCAAACAGATCTAAGACCAGACTAAATAACACATACAATTTATATTAATGTCCTCTTTGTTTTCTAGTGGATAACTTCTCCCAGAGGGAGATAGAGGAATTCCTGAATGAGGCTGCTTGCATGAAGGACTTTGACCACCCTAACGTCATCAGGCTGCTAGGTACCGTAGGTCTTCTCTACTGCCATCATAGGCCATCCGGCTCAGTCCTGGTCCGTTGAAGACAAATGACTTTGTAACCTGTAAACAGGTTAATATTATATGGTATTAACCTGGTATTCCATTGACCTGCTCCTACTAGGTGTTTGTCTTGAGGCGGGGTCTTGTCACTTCCCCAAGCCCATGGTGATCCTGCCCTTCATGAGGTATGGAGACCTCCACAGCTTCCTGCTGCGCTCACACCTCGGAGACAATCCATTGGTGAGCTATCCGATGCTTTCTGAGGACCACATTGGAAAGAAATGCTGTGTTGTCTGAATATGGTTAATGATGTTGTAATTTCTTCTTCTTCTTCTTCTAGTTCCTGCCCATTCAGACGCTCCTGAAGTTTATGATTGACATCGCCATGGGGATGGAATACCTCAGTGGGCGGAACTTCCTCCACCGCGACTTGGCTGCACGCAACTGCATGTAAGTTTACAATTCCCCTGAACCAGAGCCATATATATATATATACACAGTGCCTTGCAAAAGTATTCATCCCCCTTGGTGTTTTTCCTATTTTGTTGCATTACAACCTATAATTTAAATTGATTTTTATTTGGATTTCATGTAATGGACATACACAAAATAGTCCAAATTGGTGAAGTGAAATGAAAAAAATAACTTGTTTCAAATAATTCTAAAATATAAATAACGGAAAAGTGGTGCGTGCATATGTATTCACCCCCTTTGCTATGAAGCCCCTAAATAAGATCTGGTGCAACCAATTACCTTCAGAAGTCACATAATTAGTTAAATAAAGTCCACCTGTGTGCAATCTAAGTGTCACATGATCTGTCACATGATCTCAGTATATATACACCTGTTCTGAAAGGGCCCAGAGTCTGCAACACCACTAAGCAAGGGGCACCACCAAGCAAGCAGCACCATGAAGACCAAGGAGCTCTCCAAACAGGTCAGGGACAAAGCTGTGGAGTAGTACAGATCAGGGTTGGGTTCTAAAAAAATATCTGAAACTTTGAACATCCAACGGAGCACCAATAAATCCATTATTAAAACATGGAAAGACCAGGCCGCCCACCAAAACTCACGGATCAGGCAAGGAGGGCATTAATCAGAGAGGCAGGGGGGTGAATAGTTATGCACGCTCAAGTTTTCAGTTTTTGTCTTATTCCTTGTTTGTTTCACAATAAAAAATAATTTGCATCTTCAAAGTGGTAGGCATGTTGTGTCAATCAAATGATACAAACCCCCAAAAAATCAATTTTAATTCCAGGTTGTAAGGCAACACAATAGGAAAAATGCCAAGGGGAGTGAATACTTTCGCAAGCCACTGTGTATGTGTATATATATATATATTACACACACACACACACACAGTACCAGTCAAAAGTTTGGACACACCTACTCATTCAAGGGTTTTTCTTTATTTTTACTATTTTTGACATTGTAGAATAATAGTGAAGACAACAAAACTATGAAATAACAAATATGGAATCATGTAGTAACCAAAAAAGTGTTATTTGAGATTCTTCAAATAGCCACCCTTTGCCTTGATAACAGCTTTGTACACTCTTGGCATTCTCTCAACCAGCTTCACCTGGAATGCTTTTCCAACAGTCTTGAAGGAGTTCCCACATATGCTGAGCACTTGTTGGCTGCTTTTCCTTCACTCTGCCGTCCGACTCATCCCAAACCATCTCAATTGGGTTAAGGTCGGGGGATTGTGGAGGCCAGGTCATCTGATGCAGCACTCCATCACTCTCCTTCTTGGTAAAATATCCCTTACACAGCCTGGAGGTGTGTTGGGTCATTGTCCTGTTGAAAAACAAATGATAGTCTCACTGCTGTGGTAGCCATGCTGGTTAAGTGTGCCTCGAATTCTAAATATATCACAGACAGTGTCACCAGCAATGCACCCCCACACCATAACACCTCCTCCTCCATGCTTTACGGTGGGAACTACACATCCGTTCACCCACACCGCGTCTCACAAAGACACAGCGGTTTGAACCAAAAATCTCCAATTTGGACTCCAGACCAAAGGACACATTTCCACCGGTCTAATGTCCATTGCTCGTGTTTCTTGGCCCAAGCAGGTCTCGTCTTCTTATTGGTGTCCTTTAGTAGTGGCTTCTTTGCAGCAATTCGACCATGAAGGCCTGATTCACACAGTCCCTTCTGAACAGTTGATGTTGAGATTTGTCTGTTACTTGAACTCTGTGAAGCATTTATTTGGGCTGCAATTTCTGAGGCTGGTAACTCTAATTAACTAATCCTCTGCAGCAGAGGAAACTCTGGGTCACCAGAACAGCTTCATTGCACCGTGGCATACATTCTACAAGTCTCTGGAACTCTATTGGAGGGATGCGACACCATTCTTCCATGAGAAATTCCATAATTTGGTGTCTTGTTGATGGTGGTAGAAAACGCTGTCTCAGGCGCCACTATAGAAGCTCCCATAAGTGTTCAATTGGGTTGAGATCTGGTGACTGAGACGGCCATGGCATATGGTTTCCATAATTTTCATGCTGATCAAACCATTTAGTGACCGCTCGTGCCCTGTGGATGGGGGGCATTGTCATCCTATGGGGTGATAGCCATGGTAGCCAAAATAATGGCATGCTCAGCATTTCTATACATGACCAGTGGCGACCCGTCATTCAGGGCAGGTGGGGCAGAGCCACCTCTTTACCTCTTTTTGAGCCTGTTTTGCATGTTATTTTGGCATAGATATTTGTCACATATCAGTTCGTAAACAATGTACAAATATATATATAATTGAGGTAATAAAGCCGCATACAAACGTGGTCTCTTTTTTGCTTTCTTGAGTAAGGCAGCTCCAAAATTCAGGCATTTCAGCCTAGCTCAGTGCTTTCTGTGGTGGTGGGGCAGCCAGCGGAAAATACGGAGCGTAGGAGTTGGTAATGTTCTCTAGTTGCGCCGTGATTGGCTCAGTGTTCTGTCACTCATGGGAACACTACGTCACCGCAAAATCTACGGGGAGAGCTCGAAAATTCAAGCCCCTTGGGTGCTGCCATAGAGTTACATTAAAGTGCCCATCCAAGAAGGCTCAAGGTCATTGGCCACAAATAAAATGATGTCAAATCACATTATATCTACAGTAGCTTTGATTGGACTGATCAAATCTTAGCTAGCAAGCTAGCAGTCATCATCATGAATCAAGTCGACAATCTACTGGCAAATCCTTTTCAATCCTTGTCATATGAAGAGAAATAATGAAGAGAAATTATAGATAAAACGTATCGGTGCTCATCGGCCATTGGACATGAACATTTACACAATAAGTTGGAAATCGCAAATTCAACAATGAGTGGTTTGTAAGGAATCAGTGGCTAACTGCAAGCATTGCAAAGTAATCACTAGCCTGCTATTCAGTGGATGGAAGTGTGGTCTAAGTCTGGGTTAAAGGTCTCTTTTCCAAGCTTAAAAGGATAAACATTCAACATTGGCCATGCTATCAATCCAGCATGACTTCTTCCGCTTTCAAAACAACTGGAAACTCGGAACTGGGAAATCTCAGACTTTAGTGAGTTCAAAACAACTGGGAACTCTGAAAAAAAACTAGCTCCGACTGGGAAAATAAGTTTTGAACGGTCATCCAACTCAGAATTCCAAGTCGGGAACTCGGGCCTCTTTCTAGAGCTCCGACCTGAAGTTCACTAACGTCATGATTCAACCTTGTCTTTTTTCTGAGTTCCCAGTTGTCTTGAAAGCACCATGAATCCAGTGTTACTGTCCACCACATTACCAAACTCACTGTTACTGTCCACCACATTACCATACTCACTGTTACTGTCCACCACATTACCATACTCACTGTTACTGTCCACCACATTACCATATTACCAAACTCACTGTTACTGTCCAACATATTACCAAACTCACTGTTACTGTCCACCATATTACCATATTACCATATTACCATACTCACTGTTACTGTCCACCATATTACCATATTACCATATTACCATACTCACTGTTACTGTCCACCATATTACCATACTCACTGTTACTGTCCACCATATTACCATATTACCATACTCACTGTTACTGTCCACCATATTACCATATTACCATACTCACTGTTACTGTCCACCATATTACCATACTCACTGTTACTGTCCACCATATTACCATACTCACTGTT